CAGTTCTAACAAACGTCCTTGGATAAAAATACCAAACAAGGAGAACCCCCTACCCCATATGAAATTGGCAATTCAGTCTCTCCTTCACTTCTCGGTCAGCCGTTCTACATAACCTGTGAAGGCGACATCCAACCAGTTCAGTCAACCTTAACGTTTTGAGTAAAAAACATTTTTTTCATTTTTGAAATGAAGCAAGTTAAATTCGTCCCACACCAATCTCAATGGACCGATGAAAGTCAAGCTATGGTTGAACAGTGTTGAGAAACGACTATAGAAGACGAACTTAAGGAGCTCAAACCACAATGCAACCAACAAATTGCAGAGTCAAGGAACAGATAAGCTCCAACCTCTAAAGCTACAAAGCTACTCTTGACCTCATGGATACTTACCGTTTAGAAGTAAAGAGTGGAATAAGACAATTAAAATTAAAACTTCTAAACTACGAAGCTATACTTCAAAAGTTAGCAGAAATAGGAAAGACTCTTACCAGAGCTACTTACATGTAAGGGACTTAACCTTCATGCAGTCCGACCAAAGATGAATATTTCTGACATTGTCCCAATTTTGTCCGAAAGTCAGCTCAGATGTTTTGAACTGCTCGCCAACATATCCAAATATGAACGTTTGCCTGAACTCTCTGCAATCTCAAAAAACGTTTTTTGGTTCTCATGTTCGAAACTTTTATCGGAAGAGACAACAAACGTTCAGAAGAAGAACAAGATATTATTTTAAACTTGTTGTATGACTTAACCGTCATAACAAGCTTTTTGAAGTAAAACCGTCATTCTCAAACCACTTCATTTTTTCGATGTCCGAACAAAGCACGAAGCCGAAACACAATGGCAGATGTCCTTTCAATGTTTGCCAGACAAGCGCCCAGTTCAAATTCAAATTTGAATTTGAAAGCTCATCTGACAAACACCGTTAAGACTCTCCAAAGTAGTCTTATAGAAGAGATGAAGGGACTTAAAGGTGAGTTCCTCATGAACCAAGCTTCCAATGAGAAAGTCCTGAACGATTTTGACGGAAACCTTGCGCATTTACGCGAGAGAGAACCGAGACCTTGCCAGACTCATCTACCGTTTCTTCGAAGAGATAGACGCCATCTGGAAGGTACTCGAAAGGACAGAACCTCCAACACCGTAATTCGTGAACACAGAATTGAAGAAGGAATTGTCGAGAGAAAGAGAAACACGAAGAAGAGGAAGAGGAAGAAGAGGAAGAGGAAGGAAGAGGAAGAAGAGAACACGAAGAAGAGAAGTTTGGGCAACCTTCCCGATGACAGTTATGAAATTCCCAACCCTACCCATACAAAATCCGCAACAAGGGAGACAGGCAAGGTTCTTACCCCAGTCCTCAACAACTTGGGACACTGAACCTTAACCTCGGAATCGCGGTTCAATTTCCATGGGCAAGCTTGTCGCAATTCAATGGGTTCCAAATCCAGGCAAGAAGACGAAGGGTCAGACACATTGACGGTGAACAAGCTCAACAACCGTAAGGAGAACCTCGAGTGGTTCTAAGAGTAAAAAAATTTTATTTTAGGGGGAAACCCCAAGTAAATTTAGGTGTTTATTTGGATAAGTATGTGAAATTAAGGTCAATTTGCAAAATTGTATTCCCGACCTTTGAATTGGACTCTTTCGTTCTCCCATTGCGTAGGAGGTCGTCCCAGAGGAGTGGTAGATTTTGCCAATCCAAGGACGATTTGCTCCCCAGGCATGAGGATGTACTGCTCGTAGAGTCTCATGACCTCTCCTTGCACCAGACACCCTCTCCCTTGGAAGTTAAGGCTTCTTTCGAAGTGCTCGATGCGATTTGGCTGCGTGACCATCCGAAATGACACTTTTTGTACGTTTGGTCAATGTTCGTGTTCGTGCCATAGTCGACGAAAATACAAACAAACAGGTTATATATGAGTTTGAGACCAAGAATGGTGTAACTCGACCTGTCCGATTCAAATTCGAATAAAAATTTTTTATTTCATGCAATGTTTTATTTCTGTGCCGTCTTCAAGTATGCCCAATATTTTCCTTTTCGATATTACATGAACTTCGGAAAATACCTTAATCTAGCTTAAAACAGCCCATCTTTTGCACCGGACCATTCCATTTCAATGAGTTTGTTGTATCCTTCTTCGTTCGTCATGAGTGCATCGATGTTCTCATAGTAAACCACAACTTTGGATTATGACTTCGGAGAAGAATTTGTTGTAGTTGTCAATGACTGCTTTTGCGAACTGAGGGTAAGACCAATGTTCGACAATAGGTTTTAATGTGGTTACTAAGCCACTTTGACCTGAGTGAATTCGTACTGTCAAAAACAAAGGGGAGAACCTTTCAACACAAAGTTGTCGACCTTCTCATAATGTTTACTTCTTCATCTCTTGAGGTTTTTTAATGAATATCCCCATGTCGAATTCATAAGCAATTTGAGTGTCATTGCAAGTTTGGGGTTTGAAGCTTTCCTAATATGCATACAGTTGTTGTGATGACTTTTCCAACTTGTATAGTTCCTTCCTGGGAAACTCACTCACCATCTTCGTTTGGAATTCCAGTCGGGATATATTGGACGAACCTCATGTACGCAGCGTTAAGGTCGACATAGTATATTTTTCTTGAGTCGAACTTGTCGCAACCAATGGTCCAGTTCGTGGAAATTCAAGTGAGTCTCTTATCTTCTGAGAAACTTCTCCTGTTATCTCATAAACATCGTCGAAGCAACCTGTTTCATATAAAACCTTCTGACCTAACTCAGATGCTCTCCAATACAATTTGACGTCAATTGGATGTCTCAATGGAAGTTTGTTTATAGCATCTTGAAGTTCTTGCAACCTCATTGGAAGTTCTTCTGGTTCAGGTTGGTATCCGAACAATCCAACTCCTTTTGGAATTGTGTACTTCTTTTGTACTAGAACTTTGTCTGGAACAACTTTTGGTCTTGCTAACAATGAAAAGTTTGTTTCGTCTTTTGGTACAAAAGTTTCTGTCAGCTTGTCATCTGGAATTGGTTCCAACAAACCTTTCTCGAAAAGAATGTTAACAGCTCTGACAATGTTGCACTTGCCTTTTCCGAACAATGGGTTTGTAAGACTTTCGTTCAACATGAAGTGGTTGTGGACAATTACAATCTTCAACCATGGTAAGTCTTTGTCAACAACATAGTCGTCATGTGAAGAACCTTTAGCTGTAGGTATGTTGACTCGGATATTGACATTTGCCAACGGTGCAATTTTTGCCAATTGACCTCTGAGAATGTACCTTGTCTTCACACATGACTCAAGATACTTCATCTTCTCTTCTGTAACAAGACCAGAGTTCCTGAGACATGTAAGAATACAAGGTTCATTGACAATTGTTTCAATTGAATTGTAAATTCCATACCTTGTCAAGTCAATGTCAGACTTATTTATGAACGGGAAGTATCCAGCATGTTGTCTGACTGCTTGAGGGTTAGGTTGGTACCATTCGAACTTGACACTTGCAATTCCTTCAATTGCATTCAAAATGTCTGAGTCGGAGTCAACCATTTGTTCTCTCTTTGTAGTCTTGAAAGCGTCAAGAAGTTTGCAGCTGTTGTGACATTGCCATGTGCATAGTAAATGTGACCATCCAAATCTGTTATGGTATCTGAGATTGTATCCTTTCTTATTTCCGTCTTGTATGCAGCAAGTACCCATGAAGCCTTCTTTGTTCTTTCCTTCGTCAAAGTTTACTGTAAAGGTTCGACCAGATGTAATTTGACTTCTAACTTCACGATACTTTCATATGCATATCTTGTTCTTTCCATGGGAGCATGTCTTCACCTTTTCCTTTTTTCCTTCTCAAAGGATGCAATTGTTCGTCATGTTTCCAGTAGAATCTGGCAAAGCCGTCGTGTCCTTCAACTTGAGGCTCACTAACATCGAAAGGCATGTCCATAAGACGTTCTTCTTCTAACCTCTCTAGTCTGTTTGGATAATTTGCGCGTGCTGTTTCAAGTCCATTTCGTAGCGAAGACCAGACATTTGTCATAGACTTTTATGGGTCTTCCCTTCCTATATTTAAACTTCTTCGAAACTCTCCAACCATATCTTTCTAACTCTGCTTTTATTCTAGCAGATTTTCTATCCATTCTATATGGGGGCATTTTTATAAAAATAAAAAAATGTTTTTTCTTTACTTTACATAACCGCCTGCTGCCATAAGTCTTTGACGCCAACCCATACCAGCTAATGAAGGTTGACTTGGTTTAGTTTGGAAACTAAACTTTGGTTTTGGTTTATCTTCAGTTTTTGGTTTTTCTTCTTCTATCGGTTTTTCGTCACTTTTCGGTTCCTCTGACTTTACCTCACTTGCAGGAACAGTTGTGTCGTCAACATCTTCATAAATATCATATGCCATTTGTTTTTGTTTTCCTTTCAACTTTTTGTGTTTGTTGTAAAGTTTAGAATATTTCGACTCTAAGTCAATGAGATGTTCTATAATGAACTGTTGGTCAGTGAAGTAAACTTTTCCATCTGTTGTCTCGAAAGCTCCTTCAGACTTCAATATTTTATTTGTGAGAGTCTGTTTCTTTTTTGAGATACTAGCCGTTCCATTTCTATGAAAAGTGACTTTATAGTTAGGGTTTGTATTTCCAGACCTGGCACTTTCTATTATTGAATTTTTCTCTTCATCTGTAAGTTCTTTGACAGGTTTTGACAATGGTTCTGAACTTTTTGTTTGTGGTGTCAAATCTACCGTTTCAACTTCTTCGGTCATTTCATCTCAGTAAAAAATTTTAGTTTGGTTTGTTTTCAACTGGTTGTTTAGGTTTTTTAAGTCGGTCTAAAACTTCCTGAGGTATAGGAAGAACTTGACAAACACGTGGTTGTGTAACTGCTGGAAGTCGACAAATCCATCTTGAACCCATTTGTCTCAATGCTGTATTGTTCATTTCATCTCAGTAAAAAAATTTACATTCCCCACGTTTGAGGCGGTTGAGGTTGGTTGTTGTTTACCCACTGTTGTGCATGGTTATATCCTCTGTTAAAGAATCTTTCACCTTGGTCCATATAGTGTCCTGCTTGGTTATAGTAGTCATTTGCTTTGTTATAATAGTTTCCTGCTTGTCTTCCTACATTGTCCATCCATCCTTGAACTTTTCCTCTTGTTTCAGGATTTGGAATAAGATTTGCTGCATCTCGTGCTACCTCCCAACCTTTCTGTACAGTTTGTATAATAGGTTGTGCTTTCTCTTTCAGTATACCTAATGTACTCAAAATCTTCCTTCCAATTCCAAATGCACCTCTGGCTATTGTTCCCACTGCGGGCAAAAATCTGGATGCAACTCCTGCTAATGCGCCAAATAAACCCATTTCTTATGGGTTAAAAAATGACGAATCCAAACAAGGACCCCTATGTTTCTAAGCGACAAAGAAAGCACTCATGATAAAAATCTTTAGTTCAACACCAAATGCTTGGTTTATGGATATCTTGGAAAACATTCCGAGGTATAGAGAAGATGGACCACCATACTGGCTAATATTTGTCGGTCAAAACACAAGATACTGTGAAGCCATACCATTACAGTCCAAAAATATTTTAGATGTGCACTTTGACAATATTCGTTGACAAATACCATCCAACAAAACTGACATCTGACTGTGAAAGTTCTTTCAAATCAGACGATATTAAAAACTATCTGCGTTCAAAAAATGTAAACCAATATTTCATTGTCGACCAAAACCATTCTGCTCTTGGTGTCATTGACAGTTGTATAAAAATCTTAAGAGACTTAAACCAACCACAAGGTGGTGAGGTAGATGAAATGTCATATGACGAAATATAGACACTTCTCCATGGCAAAGATGAGACAAGTTTTAAATATTTACAATAGCCGTAAACAAAAAGGTTTGGGAAACCACTCCCCCGAAGAAATGAAAAACAACCCTGACTTAGAGAAAGACTATATATTTAATAGTTTAGTCAAAAGAGACAAACAAGAAAGAATGCCAGGCTTCAAACTTAAGAAAGGTGACAAAGTAAAAATAGAAATACCTAAACGCGACCCATATGAAAATACTATTGACTATGACAACAATGGGAACTCGACAGGTACTCACATTCGTGTTCGTAAAAATAGAAGAAAGTATACAAGAGAATATTATGAAGTTTTAGGCAAACATGGCAAAATGTACAGACTGCAAGCAGAAGATAAAACTACTATTGTCAGACCTCGTTTCAAACTTGTCAAAGTTCAAGGTGGTATACTTTCAAAGACAGTTCCTAACAAATATAAGACAACTCCTGACGAATATGCTAAAGAAGTTGAAAATGACGACTAAGCAATTCTATACCATGCACAAACTGTCATGTAAGGTGGCATGTATTTTTTACCTAGTCCTGTAGATGTTGTTGTAAAAGTATGTTGGTGGTTTCCTCCTGGTTCAGTTTGTCGAAAAGTCTTTTTTGCTGAATGGTTATAATCTGGAGATAAAACGTCATAGCCAGCTTCATACTCTGAGTTGTATAATGGGTGGTCTCTTAATGAGTGGCTATGGTCGCCAGAAAAGTTTGTTGTACCAGAATGACTATGTGGTGGCAAGTTGTCGACAGATATCGTTTTACTTCCACCTGTTTTCTTTGGAGTGTGTGCACAATACAAAAAACTTTCGAGTATTTGAGTCCAAGTTCCAAAACCAAGTACTACTTCTGGTCTGGTAGAGTTCATTGACGTATAAATAGAACCAACTGGGTAAATGGTTTGAAGTATTTCTGTCTTTAATGTTTGAAGCTCTGTTTTGTCTGCTTTTTGTCATATAAATCTTGAGCAGTGAATTTAACTTTGTTTTCATCCTCCATGACATAACATTTCTACATCTAATGTATCTCATCGTTGTTATGTCTTCTTCCGATGTTAAACCTTGTGGAAAGTTAGGAGGTTTCCAATCTAATACATCCCCACCAGTTTCTTCAACCGTTCCTTCAATATTTTCTATAGCAACAGTTGAAAACTATGTGTATGTCGTCAGCTTTTCTGTTAACTTTTCTTGTAAGTTTGTAATATTTGCAATGGTATGTGTATGTCCAACGTCACTTTTCCTGTTTAAGGTTTCTTGTAAGTTTGTAATATTTGCAATGGTATGTGTATGGTTCTTGTCGGCTTTAAGGTCTAAACATCCTGAAACCCACCCTGTATCGGCTTTACCTTTTAAAATCTTTGATGTCCGTTCATGGTACCATTCAACCCTTTCTTAATTTTTTCATCTTTTTCATTCCACATATTCCTTATCTGCCTTCTTCACTAACGCACTAGCCACACGTGCTAACTCATCGTCAACATACTCTTTGTCAGCTTTGTTGTCAATATCTGCTTTCAAAAGAAGTTCAGATATAGTTTCTCGTTTAAAGTTCCTTTTGTTGGATTTACACAGACAGTATGGTTCTTACTGTCTTGAAACAGAAACTCATCTGTCATTGGGTTTATCGTCAGTTTTAAGTTTTCCTTCTTTCAATGACTCAGATATCTTAGAATAGTTTGAAAAGTTTGTTGTGTTCTTATTTAGAGCTTGCATAATGAGTTGTCGTTGTGTTGTATTTCTCTCATAGACGCTGTTTCTTTCGACATTTTTATTCTAGATAAAATATGCTTTCAATAGAAAAAGAAAATTCAAGAGTTGCTACAACTAAACCATTAGATGAACTTTTTACGAATGTCGGTCAAAAGTTTGAGACAGAGACCGTAAAGCATGAAGGCTATCGTTTTGACTACCATTAAGATGGCTAAGAGACCCATCTGTCACAAAAGCTATTGGCTTTCGTAGAATGAAGTTTGTGTCTGTAGAAGATAAAAGTTTTCCATTTATTGTAAGGTTTCATATAGATTATATATCTGAAGGGAAACGAAAAATGTGGGAAGAAATTGAGCTAATACAAGTTGACCTTTCATCTTCTCTACAGACTGCGTTAAAAAATATAGAAGATAAAATAAATTCATGTTATGCAAAATATGCTGATGAATATGCAAATACCGAGAGCACACTTTATGTGAGAATTGTATATGACAAACAAAATTCACAAGTGTCATTTCAAATCTACGAAGACAATCCAAAGAAAGACGAACAAATATATACAGAATTCACTGCAATGTCATGGTATTATTTGCAAAGAATGTTAAATCAGAAAGTCGAACTTCCTTTAGCAAATATTTACAGTCGATATGCAAGAGATGAACCATATTTATTTAAAGATGTTTTCGACCCAGCTGCTATTATAGTTCATGCTTCATTTCTGGCGCCCAAAACTCTTTTTTATGCTTGGCAAATGACTTTTACGAAAAACCTACAAAGCTATATGAACCACCAAGTGGAAGTATTTCAGACTTTCAAGTATGGTTTACAAACAGATGGAAGAAAGAGAATAATTCCATTATACCATGCGTTTTACTTAGAACTTAGTTTCATATACAACTACTATCGAACGGTAAAAATATAATTTTTTAATACGGTTGAGGTGTTGGATTTGGTTGCCAACTAGACTGTGGTGCAGGTTCAGGCTGTTGTATAACAGGAGCTTGTTCTTCTGTTCAGGGTCTTTAGGTATAATACCAACGAACTGACCTACTCTTTTACCAATATTTTTGACTCCGTTCCAAATTCCTCTTCCTACGGTTTTTATTCCATTCCATATACCTCTTCCAACATTTCGAAAGAAGTTTCCTATTTACTGAAGAAACCCATTTTACTATATGTAAAAATCTAATGTCCGCCTAGTCTCTTACGTTTCCTGTTGAGTTCCATAGCATTCTTTAACTGGAGCTCATACATTCTATTTCTCTCCTCTGGTAGAAAACATACTCTGGGTCAACTCCTGTGTTCGCGTCATCTGCATAAAGTTGTTTATATCCCACTTCAGGGTTTGTATAAAACTCTTTCCATCTCATATTTGCATACCATGGTGGCAAACCTAACGCAGCGTCATTTGACATGGCAGTTTGCATTGTACATCTGTTGGCACTGACCATAGTTTGCCATTGCAGTTTGTATTCTAACTTCATTTGGAATATTCTCTGGGTTTGGTTGTCCAGGTTGCTGTGCATTCGCTAAGTTCTGTGCGTCCATTTAATATTAGATAAAAATATCTCTTACGAGTACATATACTGGACATTTGCAGGCATTGGTTCATCTTCATATTCTCTATATCTTCTGCCACGTCAAATAAATAAATGACACAATGGAAAAAACCTAAAACAAGTAGTCCTATTTCAAACCACATTTACTTACCAATAAAATTTCTTTATTGTGACACTTTCTCCAGTTTATAGGACCTCTCTCATATTCTATCTTGTCATATCTAAACTCATAGTCATGTATGTCCTCTAACCATCTCATGACACTTTCCAAACCACTTTTATCGGATGTAAAGTAAAAGCATGGATGGTTATGTAAAACGTCTAAAGTTTCTAAAGAGTCTCTCAAAGTCCAGTCTACTTGGTATTGAAAATCCCATGTGTTATAGAACGGCGGGTCCACTATAAAGAAAACATTTTCCTTGTCTTTATATTTTTCATACAACTCTGTCCAATGACATCTCACAAACTCTATACCCTCAATATATTTTTCTATGTCCTCTTTGAAAACATTTGTATAGTTAAGATATAAAACTTTTGACATAAGTGTTTCAATGTCATGAACTCTTATAGAACCACTATATAATAGTCTAGCAGATATCGTATCCCAGTCTATATATTCTGCTTTTTTCAAAACCTCTCTCACAATATTTTTGTTATCTAATGGTATACGTTCCATCTTACCTATAGGTATCTTTTCTTTTAACTCTTTCAATATATTGTTTGTGTCTGGAATATGTTTGAGACGGTCCATATAGTTGTCGAAGTCATTGCATATAATCTTTGAGTCTGGGAATATTATATGACACAAATGGGATATATAGAAACTTCCACCGAACAAATCTACAAATGTTAGACCATTCGGTAGTTTCTTAAGTTCTCTCAATATAATATCTTTACATCTACTCTTATTTCCAAAGAACGGTAACGGTGGTTTTGTAAAATTCATTTATATATAATAATAAAAATGTTTTTTCCTGAAAAGTGACAGAAAAGTGACAAAACATGAAAACATATATAATTTGTGAAAAGCGACACATTATATAATGTTTTCGACCCAGAAGAAGGCTTCTTCCCAGAAGCAATGGAGGAAGAAGAAGAGTCCTCCGAATAAAAACTTCATTTATACTAAACATCAACATCAGGGCTAGAAGGCACGAAGTGCCTGGAAGCCCCACTTCCCTTTTTTTTTTTTTTTTTTTTTTTTTTTTTTTTTAGATATTGATTTAAAAAAAATAATATAATAGCATAATAAAATTTCTTTATTTCCCCGTACAAAGATATAGCCGTAACAAGACATTAACGTTTGGAAAGTAAATTTGAAAAAAAGTATTATATTATAAAAGAAGTTACAAATTTTTAGAATATTTTTGTAAAATAAGAGCAAAAAGTAGAATGCAAACTCTTCGGGTACTAAAACCTGCCATTAAATTGAGATAAATAATAGATTTTGTAAAATTTTGTTGTAATTCTTGTATCAGTCTTGCCTTAAGTATGAGTTTGAGTCTACCCTTGTTTCCATATTGCCTATTCCTGTTTTAACGCGGCTATTCCTATTCCAGTTTTTGGTGCTTTTCTATGATAACCAAATTGATTTGGTTATCATAGAAAAGAGACCATTATAATGCTTAAAATTAATTATGTTTAGGGCCGGTTTATTGGGATAAGGAAGTTTATAATACGTGAACACTTGTTTCCTCATCGAAAAGTCATAACGCATAAAGTCGATGTTTCCTTAGTACAAAAAGTGACATATGACGCTTAACTCTTTATTCCAGATAATGACCATATTTATGGGATTAAAAAGTTTAGGAAGCTTCTCCCCAATTTATTTTAAATTTGAGAATGAACCAATTTGTGAAGGTGTAGTTGATTCTAACGGAAATTAATTGCTTATTTTGATCGGGAACGTAAACTTCTCAAAATTGATGTTAATACAATGGATCCATATATCCAACTAATAACAATTGTAATTTTGGAACCAAAATCGAAGTACCTAACGATACGGTTTTTCGATCAAAGGTGACCAAACTATTTTTTGAAAGTCCGCCATAACTTTAATGGTACTATTTCAGCGTGTACAATGAATACAAAAATTCTAAGAGTGCCACATAAAATAGTACTTTAGACTTGAGTTAATGCTACCAAGCAAATGTTAAAAAGATGACTTTAGTGTTTTGATAATCAAAGATTAAAATCATTATTGTCTAAATCAATAATCATAACGACAGAAGTTAATGTTTTTTCATAAGTGCTTTAAATCCACTTTTAAAAGTATACCTCAAAAATCAAAATATCAAAAAAAAATTGGCCGATAGGTTTGGCTTTAATTTTTGTCTGCTTTTATGATTTGATATGGATGTTATAATTTTAAAAGTTGAGCCAAATTCACCAATAGATTTTTGAGATTTGCAAATACTCAATAATTTTCAGCGTGTTATCTTTTATTAAAAGAACTATTTGGTTTCAGTATCATATAAATTGATATTTACTTTCTATTTGAACCTTCATTTAGCTAATGATTTAATAATACAGATTTCATCTAGTCCTTATAAGAGAATTTTGAATTTGTTATAATAAAAAAACAAACAGATATAGCTTACACTTCTATAATAAAGATACCTTTTATAGAAATCAGTATGAAATGTGTTTTGGCTTATTGGAAGCATATCAGACATAATCGCCATAATCAAAAAATCTATATACCCAATAAGTAATAAATTTGTCGATATAGATTTTCCATAAAATTAGTTTTTAGTCTGATCTTAAAATAAATTTAATTTTTTATAAAAAAAATCACATTTAAAAGCACCTTTTTAGTAGCTCGAAATCCTGTTGGTGGATTTCGGGCGTACTTCAAAATTAGCTTTTCTTCTACATATGCAAGCTATATTTTAAATATGGGGCAAATCGGATCGGCGAAAGGAGTTTAGTTACCTTTATTTAAATTTCAAATTCTTCTGGTTTTATGTCTCCTCTTCGGATCTTTCAATCCGTTGGCCTTGGGTTGTCATAAAAATATTTATTTATGCTGGAAAGCCAAAACAGAAATCAAAAATTATTTTTCATCTCAAGAATAGTATCCAAAAGATAAAAAAAAAACTGATCATGTTGTTAAAATTTATTACTAACAAAAACTATATACTAATCTAATATGAAATGTAAATAAATTAAATTAATAAACATTTCTTCGTATTCAAATACTTAAATTGCGGACATTTTGATATAATAAATCCTGTTGGATCGTAATTGTTCGCTGATGGATCGAAACGAAAAACGACATCTTCTGGAGTAAATTTCATCCATTGGTATGGGAATTGTGTCTCCGGAATGTTATCTAGAATCAATTTGTGTATCTTTGCATAATCTGGTGTATCTGAATAATCTAAACTTTGAATGTAAGTTGCAATATCTTTGAAAGGTTGCCCAAGAGGATTAACAACCATTGCTAATTCGTATTTTTGCTTAAAGCGCTCAATATCATCAACATGATCATCAGTTTGCCATGGTAATTTGAATTCTGTAAGTGCCATCACTGAAAAAAGCCAAGAAATAAGATCGTCACGGCGAGAAAGCTCTTTATGCTTATGGGAATTGAGAGATGCATAATATGGAGACCAGGCAATGTGAACTGAATCTCTTGCAGGAAGATGATTTCCATCTCGATCAATATACTGTTTGGAGATTCCAAAATCAAGAAGAGCTAATGGGAAAGTTCCATTTAATCGTAATACGAAGTTGTGTGGTTTGATATCGCGATGAATATACCCATTTTTATGCAAATGTTCAATGCATGAAAGCATTTCATCAGCAAGACGATAAATGTATAGTCTGTTTATATAGCCCGATGGCATCCATTCAGCTATTGTGTGTAAAGATGGTCCGAATAATTCCATTACAAAATAATTTAAATCTCCTTCTTTGCCAGATGACAAAATGCGAGGAAATCTGTCTGAATTGTGTAATCTTTTAATTACTGTTACTTCAAACTCGAGAGATTTTATTTTTGAATCTAATTTCTCAATTTTCATAGCGTAATATTGATCATCTTCAGTGGATTTAACTAAATATACTTGGCCAAATCCTCCATGACCAATTGGTTCTAAAATTTTATAGAAACCGACCATTTCGGGTACATCCATTCAAAAAAGTGATGAAATGATGTAAAAAATAGAGAAATTGATAAAGGAAATGATTTAATGCTCAGTATATAAAATGCATTGAAAGTTGATCTGCTAAATCAAAATCTGAATTGATGAATATATATTTTGTATTTAATATATATTGTTTAAACACTATCAATGTTCATTACTAATTTTATGATTTCATCCATTATTCGAGATTTCATATCTTGATAACCGAAAACAGGTCGAAAACTAAACAATTTATTTGTAAAATAATGTTGTTTATTTACAGGCTCTTTACACCGCTTGGGAATTTACTGATTTGAAGATGGTCAAAAAGGTTTATTAGGAAAATGAAGAGTATTCAATCGGGAATAGATAGTATTAAAAGTTGAAGTTGTGTGTGTGATATAAACGTATAATCAAATAGTAGGAAATAAGAATTTATGATTTCAATTTATATCCAAATGAAAATCAATAAAAGAGAAGAAATTGTTATCAAGCTTGTTATATACTTGATAAACGTTATATATTATCTTTAATGTTGAGAGGATTTTTAGAAATTCAAGGAAATATCACCAAAAAAAAGCATGATTTAGATGTTAACAGAAAGGTGATTCGTACATACATTTATTGGAAGACTCAGACATCAAGCAGAAATCTAATATGATTTGCAGCTGAGAAATCGACATTGATCCTTTCCGAAATATAACTGAAATCGATGATAAATATTTAATAATTTGAGGTGATCATTATTAAATTTGTCCTTAATACTATTGAACATCTTTAATATCAATTTTGTCAGATCGAAAAAAGGTAACTAAACTCCTTTCGCCGATCCGATTTGCCCCATATTTAAAATATAGCTTGCATATGTAGAAGAAAAGCTAATTTTGAAGTACGCCCGAAATCCACCAACAGGATTTCGAGCTACTAAAAAGGTGCTTTTAAATGTGATTTTTTTTATAAAAAATTAAATTTATTTTAAGATCAGACTAAAAACTAATTTTATGGAAAATCTATATCGACAAATTTATTACTTATTGGGTATATAGATTTTTTGATTATGGCGATTATGTCTGATATGCTTCCAATAAGCCAAAACACATTTCATACTGATTTCTATAAAAGGTATCTTTATTATAGAAGTGTAAGCTATATCTGTTTGTTTTTTTATTATAACAAATTCAAAATTCTCTTATAAGGACTAGATGAAATCTGTATTATTAAATCATTAGCTAAATGAAGGTTCAAATAGAAAGTAAATATCAATTTATATGATACTGAAACCAAATAGTTCTTTTAATAAAAGATAACACGCTGAAAATTATTGAGTATTTGCAAATCTCAAAAATCTATTGGTGAATTTGGCTCAACTTTTAAAATTATAACATCCATATCAAATCATAAAAGCAGACAAAAATTAAAGCCAAACCTATCGGCCAATTTTTTTTTGATATTTTGATTTTTGAGGTATACTTTTAAAAGTGGATTTAAAGCACTTATGAAAAAACATTAACTTCTGTCGTTATGATTATTGATTTAGACAATAATGATTTTAATCTTTGATTATCAAAACACTAAAGTCATCTTTTTAACATTTGCTTGGTAGCATTAACTCAAGTCTAAAGTACTATTTTATGTGGCACTCTTAGAATTTTTGTATTCATTGTACACGCTGAAATAGTACCATTAAAGTTATGGCGGACTTTCAAAAAATAGTTTGGTCACCTTTATTTAAATCAATCTAATCTCAATAAACGATTTCACACTTCTACACATATTAACCTGCCATATTCTTTTTGCTTATTTAGCTTGTCTTTGAATATTCTAAAATAATATTCTGATTATAACATTTGAATTAAATATATATTAGATAATATCTTATATGGCTTGCTGCATAAGAGAGTGCAACTTTTCATCAATATCCTTTGCTTCTTTAAGAACCTCAAAAGAGATAAGAAATTTAACAGCTTCAAAATGTTCATTTTCTAATTCATAAATGAGCAGAAAATTTTCTTATTCACATGTAACATGAAGAATATTTTGTGGTTGTGGTTTTCCACATGTTTAACATAGAATATTTTTAATTCAATTACTGTTTTTGAGAATCACACTTCTGACATTTTTACGAGATTCACGCCTGTTAAAATCACACCAAAATTTTTAATGTCTGATCAAAACATCCATCTTAATAAATACATTGATTTGACAAGTTTCTATTGTAATAAACAGAAATTCATCAAAATTGACAGCTCTCAATTTTTTGACATTTGTAAATTCTAAATTGAATGAGAAAAATGAAATAATACTAAGCATAATACAATATTCTAGATTTAATTATAATTAGGAAAAAGTTAGTTTTGAGAGTACTTTTCATAGGCATATAGAATGAAATCTTCTGAAAAATAATATCACATAAACTCATATTATTTTCTAATATATAACTATTTTATATAAAAATCAAATTCAATGATCTTAAAAGCGAAGGATAAACCTCAAAATTTACGAATATAATGAGTGGGAATATAATGCTTATCTATCATAAAACCATATGAAATATCAATTTTTGCTTTACGCCTAATTTTTGACGACAATTAGCAAAAAATGTTAAATGTTAACACTCAGTCCATTTGAATATGAAAAATAAAATTGACTTTGATTAAATGTTTTTATTTATCATGCAATTCTTCTTGCGACCAAAGATTTGAATAAAAGTTCAAAAAATAAGATAGCTTAAAAAATAATATACGGTAGTGTTTACTAATAGATGAATAGTATATAAATTCTATTAAAATGGATTTGATCCAAAAAAAATATAAAACCAAAAATAATTGTTATAATTTAAATGAAGAAGTAATTTAAAACAATTTTATTTATGATCAAATTTTGTATATTTTTTTGGATCAAATCCATTTTAATAGAATTTATATACTATTCATCTATTAGTAAACACTACCGTATATTATTTTTTTAAGCTATCTTATTTTTTGAACTTTTATTCAAATCTTTGGTCGCAAGAAGAATTGCATGATAAATAAAAACATTTAATCAAAGTCAATTTTATTTTTCATATTCAAATGGACTGAGTGTTAACATTTAACATTTTTTGCTAATTGTCGTCAAAAATTAGGCGTAAAGCAAAAATTGATATTTCATATGGTTTTATGATAGATAAGCATTATATTCCCACTCATTATATTCGTAAATTTTGAGGTTTATCCTTCGCTTTTAAGATCATTGAATTTGATTTTTATATAAAATAGTTATATATTAGAAAATAATATGAGTTTATGTGATATTATTTTTCAGAAGATTTTGTGTTCTTCTTCAAAATTTTATTTTTTTTATTAAAAAGAATCTTTACAAAATATACATTTACTTTAATTAATATTTAAAAACGTGCTCTATCAAAAGTTCCAAAAATTCAATATTTTAGCTTTTCTGAGGTGTCACTTTTGATGAATTTCTGTTTACAACACTATAAATACTACATAGATTTATTTAATGCATTGTATCAGCTAAAAACTGAAAATGAAGAAGAATTAAACTCGATTTACAATAAACTCAAAACAGAAATGATTGATTCAAAGAAACATCATCCTCAAAATATTTTAGAAGATATTTTGAATATCATTCCTTTTAATATTCGTTACAAAAAATCATACTTGACGCTTGCGAAACTCATTTCTGATGATTATCATATAACAGAGGCTAACAATATTCCATTCACTTCTAACTACCTGTTTTACAAAGAGTATGGTATTAAATTATTCCTTTCTCAAAGTTTTGGATATTTAACTTCAGAAAATCTCAATATTCATTTAGAAGATACAATTTACAGAGCAATTATGTTTAATGACATAGAAAGATTCATTTCATCTACTGAAACAGAAGAATTTAATCCAGATCAGAAATGTGAATGTTCATTATATCCTAAACTTAAATTTTCATATAGTTTTGAACATAATTCATTACTTGAATTATGTTGTTATCATGGAGCTGTTGATTGTTTCAAGTTATTAAGATCGAAATTTAACTCAGAAATAACTTATGAATGTTTATGTTTTTCATTTTTAGGAGGAAATCCAGAGATCATAAGTGAATGTTTGAAATATCAAGACCCAGGAAATGAATGCATGAGATATGCAATTATTTCACACAACATTGATTTTGTTACTTTCTTGATGAATGAATACGATTTAGAGATAAATTTAGAATTCTGTGGAATATACAAAAATCTTGAAACCTTTTTAGTTTATTTTGATCAAACTAATGATTTTAACAAATGCTTTGTTTATTCAGCGATTTTTGCCATCCCATCCCTTTGTGAATATTTTGCTGCAAATGTCAATAAAATTGATAATTTTGTAGATATGGCTCTGCTTTATGCAACATTAAAATATAGTAGAGAAATCGTCGAACTCCTTCTTTCACATGGTGCAAAAGTTGATATACAAAATGATAATGGAGAAAACGCTCTTCGTTTTGCTACTCGCAATAATGACAAAGAAATAGTTGAGTTTCTGATTGCACATGGCGCAAATATCAATGAAATATATGTAGATGGAAATACTGTTCTTCATTATGCAACAAAATTAAATAAAAAAGAAATAGCAGAACTTCTTATTTCACACGGTGCAAATATCAATGAAATAGATAGAGATGGAAATACTGTTCTTCATTATGCAGCAAAATATAATAAAAAAGAAATAGCAGAACTTCTTATTGTACATGGTGCAAATGTCAATGAAATAAATGTAGGTGGATATACTGCTCTTCATTATGCAGCAAAATTAAATAAAAAAGAAATAGCAGAACTTCTTATTTCACACGGTGCAAATATTAATGAAAAAGATAAAGATGGATTAACTGCTCTTCATATTGCAGCGGTATTAAACCGTAAAGAAACAGCGGAACTTCTTATTTTACATGGTGCAAACATCAATGAAAAAGATATAGATAAGAAAACTGCTCTTCATATTACAGCGGAATTAAATCGTAAAGAAACAGCAGAACTTCTTATTTCACGTGGTACAAATATTAATGAAAAAGATATAAATGGAAGAACTGCTCTTCATTATGCAGCAATTCATAATAAATATGAAATTGCAGAACTTCTTATTTCACATGGCGCAAATATCAATGAAAGAGACAAATACGGGAAAACAGCTCTTCATATTGCAGCAGATTATAATAGTAAAGAAACAACCGAATGTCTTATTTCATACGGTGCAAATATCAATGAAAAAGATAATGGTGGGAAAAACGCTCTTGATTATGCAAGAAAATATAATAATAAAGAAATAATCGAACTTTTTATTGCACATGGTGCAAATTAACCACTTTTATTTGATGATAACAACCAAAATTTAATATCCAATAACTTTTTTCCCCGTCAATTAAATCTATCGTTGTCGAAATTTATTGTTTTAGAATACGATAAAGCATCATTTATGGTTTTTATTCATATATATATATATATAAATCAATTTAATTAAAAATGAAATTAGGTGTTTATATCACGATTCTCACTTCAATTTTAGACACCTTTAAACACTTTGACCATTTGGATCATAAATGATATTTTTGTGTGGTACATAGTTAATTAATAATTGTTCAAAGGATTGAACTTCTTGAAAATGGTGAATTCCTAACAAAGAATGAATTAGTTATATTTGATGAAATCCGATCTGAGAGTAATTAATGTAAGGGATCGCGCAAACTATAAATAAAATAAAAGTCACTCCCGAAACGAAAGTCAATGAATTTGCCAAATTTTAGTCTAAAAGTTTGCAGAGTAAATGTAATCTACTATTATATAAATAATCTCAAATAGATAATGTTAAGCGGACAATTAATGGCTCACTAACTTAGTTTACAAAAATGTATGATATTTACTCCTTAAGTGTGCACTTACCACTTTCTGACATTTTCTCAATTTTTTTAACACACAAGCTTTCTATCCAAATATTCTAAGGTCAAAAGCTATTATGTTTTTTCAGGAGAAAGTAACCATTAATCATTATATAGTGCCTAATATGGCTGTTATACATTTCTGCTGTTAAAATATAGATATATTGATTTTTAAAGAGCATGTCAGATTGTAGTAAGTACATCCTTAAATTACTGACAAATAAAGAACAAAAAATTAATTATATTTACTTCATAAGCCTTCTTCACGAGGTCTTGATAAGATTTGGAAATAGTCAAAAGATAGAGTATGATGAATGCATATTATATTCACGTTTTTTCATAAAAATATCAATTCAATCATAGAGGGAGAAAAAAAAAACAACATATTTATTATTATTTAAACAATTTCAGTAAATGAAGGGGAACAAGCACTTCTAGGGAATTGGAATGGATGGCATCTTAATGAACCAGACACAATCATTCCCAAACTCTTTTCAAACTCGCGATAAACATCGTAAGAGTTGTAATTTTTGCTAATTTTGTCAACAGACAAAACAATCGATGGAGCTTGTGATTCTTTATGTATATATGAATAAACAAAGATCACAGGCCTTGTTCTGCTTTCTTCCTTTGAGAAGAACAACTCAGGGATCGTGTACTTTTTAGTTAAAGTCAAAATCAAATCCGAAAAAGCTTTCATCGAATTTTGCGCGTCAAATTTCAATTTCATCATTCCTGCGTGGAAAACAAGTTGAACTTCGTTCTTCGATGCTTCTTCCACTGTCTGATACAAATAGATACCGAACAAAGGTATCTTTATCGTGGAATTCGCGGAAATAAAGATTAATCTCCCTTCACAAATAATAATTGAACAAACACCATTGGAAACAAAGCGGAAAACAGGTGGAAGCATGCTATTTACCTCATTAGGACCCATAAACAATGACATGATTCGTTCTCTAAGGAAAGGATCCCATTCAAAAGAGTTTCTGTCGAATTCTTTCGATTCTGTAATGGTAACTCTGAACATTACGTAGGGTTTCCTGGTTGCTACTGGTTCTTGTCTTCCTTTACTGGCTAAGGAGTTGAAAATATCATCAATTTGGTTCTGATTTGGAAGATATCTTTGGAGATTTGCAGTAATTGAGTAGAGTTGATGACCAAAAGTAACTGTTGCTACATTAAATAGGACACAGATGTTTTTGATCCATGAAATAATAACGGAATTCCCAATTACGAAATTTAATGCATCCAAATCATGGAGTTTTTGAACAATGATGGGGAGTTCACCAATACTTTTATGGAAAGCTTCCATTTCATTGGATTTCACAATCCTATTGATCACTTTTTCAAATTGAGAAAGATCAGGATTATTTTCGAGTTTATTCAGCTCAAGATTGATCATTTCTATGTTCTGAACAATCAGAGAGGCCAATTGTACAGCATGGAGCTGTTGGTTTTGCGATTGGATGAAATTTCTTAATAAATTATGGAGACAACCGAGAATTTGAATATCTATCTTCACGAAATAGGTAAATCTTGTTGTATACAAGTAAGGAATATCAGCGTATTGGTAAGAACCGAAAAGAATTGGTCCAATTGGAAGATTTTTTATGTTTTGCAGATAATTCTTATCAGAATAATCGTAAGGAAGTTTCCCTTCGAAATCCGGTATCAGTTTGTATCTGCTCGACAAAAATGAGATCATTTTCGGTCTGTTGTGAATAACTGCTTGATGCAAGGGAGTTCTTCCTTTTTCGTCAATGCTGTTGGAGTATCTGTCCAAGTACTTGGCAAAATTCTCGTAATTGTCCATTTTGATGGCTTCAAATAATGGATTTGGAAGTCCTAATGAAGATAAAATGTAAACAAAGTCAGATTGATATAAATCAGCTGCCAATTCAAGAGCTGTTCTTCCAGACCAGTCTGTAGCCTTAAGATCATCGCAAATCTTGACAATTTGTATTAAAACATCGATATTTCCTGTATAAACAGCTAAATGCAAGTAAGTAGTACGGACGGGTAATTTGTCAAATATTAGTACGCTTGAAAATTCTGGTGGGACTTCTGAAATCGTGATTTCTATATTATATGAAATTTGTAGTGATAAAATCCTTTTTATGATGTTTATATCTTGTTTTAAGATTGCATAGGCAATTGCTGTAAGTCCATATTTATCTGGAACGTCTATTGGCACTTCATGAGCGATTACCATTTGCAACATCGTCCAATCGCTTTGTAATATCGCTAAAATAATACAATTTCTTCCATTTCCATCTAAATCTTCGACACATTTGTTATTTGCTAGTATACTGACTAATCCTAAAGCTTTATTATTAATTGCAACATGTAAACAATTCTCTCCTATCTTATTTTTATATGAGAAGTCTGGATTGTATTTCATAACATACCAAAGACTTGCGTCAATACATTGGTTTTCCGCTAAAATCATTAAAATTGAACTGTTTTTCGAATCTATTCCTGTATTTGGAGGTATTGAATCGATAATTTGCTTAAGATTTTCAGTGTTAGGTGCTTTAGCTGCATTAACAATACTTTTCACGAGATTGCCTTGGTTGATATCCGACATAATTTCTCTTTATAAATTATTGAGTGATCTTTCTCCAGAGCAGATCCACAAATTTACTTAATGAATATATTTCTTAATATTTTCAGTATTATTTGCACAATTCAACTTCAATTCACTTCACTTCACAATTCGAATAAAGAGGGTCTTATTCCAACTGAAATAAATAATAGGAATTTGGAATAAACTCCAATATACGAATTAGGAATATTCATTTCCAAAAGCGAATTAGGAAATGGAATTAAGAATTGACTAAATGAAATAACAGACTGATTAGTTTACGAGAAAGGGACAGACTAGCCCATTGTCACTTTTTAATTTAGCAAATGAACGCTTATGGAGTGGAGTTTTTGGGTAAATCTGATTTGCTTATAAATGAAATAAAATCAAAAGAAACCATATTGGCATTATATTATGCAAAAATAAATGATCTTACTTAGTACTTTTAAAGTTAATTTCAGAAAAAATTTGACACAATGGTATCCGGCACATACAAGTGGTGTACAACCAAAATATAAGTTGGTTTAAACATATATTGCTATATCTCATGATCTTACTTAGTACTTTTAAAGTTAATTTCAGAAAAAAATTGACACAATGGTATCCGGCACATACAAGTGGTGTACAACCAAAATATAAGTTGGTTTAAACATATATTGCTATATCTCATGATCTTACTTAGTACTTTTAAAGTTAATTTCAGAAAAAAATTGACACAATGGTATCCGGCACATACAAGTGGTGTACAACCAAAATATAAGTTGGTTTAAACATATATTGCTATATCTCATGATCTTACTTAGTACTTTTAAAGTTAATTTCAGAAAAAAATTGACACAATGGTATCCGGCACATACAAGTGGTGTACAACCAAAATATAAGTTGGTTTAAACATATATTGCTATATCTCATGATCTTACTTAGTACTTTTAAAGTTAATTTCAGAAAAAAATTGACACAATGGTATCCGGCACATACAAGTGGTGTACAACCAAATCTTCGACTCGATGAACTTGTCATCGAGTTATATTCCAGTGTTGTTCCTTCATTCCTGATTAAGTTGCAAATTAAAGGTCTGGATTCAGAGAGAAGTGTTAAAGTTATCAAAAAAGTCACAAGAGATTTCGAAGAAATGACACAATTTAAAAAAGTCGAATGCATCAGTATGCTTGAAGCTGTTCAGAAAGGTCTGAAAAATGATACACTTGATCCCAACATTGTTTACTCAACATTAAAAATATTATTGCAAAGAAAACATTTGATTTAATAAACATTTAATTTATTATAATTAATTTTTTATTACAGTATAGTAAAAAATGCTATAAATAAATTATTATATTTTATTAAAATGTGACTTTTAATAGTAAGTGAATAAAATAAATCAGGAATTGGGAAAGAAATAAGGTTAATTAAAAATAATGAAAATTACAAGTTTAAGGTTAATGAAAAAGTGACAATGGGCGAGTTTGTCCCCCACTCATTAGTTTACTTATTTAAAATGATCGTGTTTATCATGAAGGATGATTATTTTGTCTAATTCTGATAATAATCATGAATCAATTTTCGATTATTCCGAGTAAACTTGTAACATTAACATAAGTTTAGTTTATTCAGCGATGTTTGATATTCCATCTCTTTGAATATACTTTTTTCACTTGAGGCAAATATCAATCAAAGGGATCAATTTGGTGGAACTGCTCTTCATACTGCAGCACAAAATAGTAATAGAGAATTAATTTTGTTTCTTCTAAACCATAGTGCAAATATCAATAAAAAAGATGAAGAAGGAAAAACCGCTCTTCATAAAGCAGCATGGAATTATAATAAAGAAATAGTTGAATTCCCCCTTTCATATGGTGCAAATATTAATGAGAAAGATATTGCTGAAATTACAGCTCTTCATATTGCAGTAGATAAGAACATTGAATCGGTATTTCTTATAATTTGATTTTTGTGATATAGGAATTAAAGCTGGAGGGAGAGGCTTTTTTTATTTACGGGCGTGTCAAAAATGGTTTTTGCAAAAAAGTGCCAAAACAGGGTACTTTACATGATGAACACTTAAAAAATAAGGATATAAACTATTTATTGATATAAATAATCAGAATTAGGATAGAGTGTGAACATATTTGAGTTTGATCATGATATGAGTATTTAATAAAATTATATATTCACAATATATGTAAATTACTAATTTCTATAATGGACCTTAGTATACTTGTTGTATAGTCAAAGATTTCATATATGAGATGTTTGTAACATAAGTTGAAAATTGGATGAGATTATAAATTTAGACTGATATTATTTTCAACTTGTAAAATTTATCACAATAACAATGTGTATGGTTATATTATTCATATCATTGATAAAAAGAAAAAAAGTTAGTTATATTATTATAAAAAAGATTTTATTCTAAGTATTCTTTGTAGTTTAATATTCATCGTCTAGAAGAAAAGTACTGAATGGGCTGAATGTGAAAATGTTGATCAGTGTTCAATATGATATTGAAATTTGGTAAAGTTGAATTTTTCACGTAAATGAAGAAGTTAATAATTCTTAGCAATTTTAATGAATAAATCAGTAAATGAATTGTTTGTAAGACTGTTTTTTTTTATTTGATAAAATAATTATAGAATATCTCCAAACTTACTAGAAAACCTTTCTAAAAGTATGAATTCTTTCTTGTGAGAAAATGAATTTGAATCAAAATCGAACTTTTGAATATATAAAGTTGGAATTTTGATTGGAAAGCTGAGAAAATAAGTAAGTTTGCTTTGCATTCTTTTTTATTAACTATTTTAATATCTTTGTCGATGGATAACTTTTAGATTAATTCAATTTAAAACGTTAACGAGAATTGTGTCTTTGAATAGACTGATTACTGATGCAATAAAGTAGTTATGCAGTAAAAAGTAGAATTCGGTAACTAAAATCCTAATTTTACTGTATCAATGAATGCGGTATATGAATCAGTATAGATTCATTGAGCAAAAATGATTAAAATACCTCTCTTTTTTCTAATTCATTTATTTTTATATCATTATTAGTGCAAATAGTCAGTGTTATGTTAAGATATTAACGCTGTTCCAAAAAAATAGTAATTTATACGTTTAATATGAGTTGCATTAGCAAAAAAATGCATTGATGGTAAAATTAGCTAGAATTGATCCAATTCAAATTCCAAATTTTTTTCAAAATAAAAAAAATTAATTTAAAATTTGTTAGAAAAACTATGAAAATCATGATTTTATGAAATATTTAGAATATTTTAAGAGGTTAATTATATTTATTTTTAGATAATAAATATATTTTCCTATGGAAATTTGAAATTATAATGCTTATATGATATAAATCTATTCGAAAATACGCGTTTTTAGACAAAATCTCATAGAATATGACTATACATTGAAAAATATCAACTTTCCAATATAGATATTAAACAATGAACATCTTATTTAACAATTTTATAATTAAATCTTTACTAGGACTGATATAGCATTTAACACAATTCAATATATCAATAGTCTTTTCTAGACGAGTCATATTTCGGAGCTAATTGATAAATTTTTATTACAATTTCAAATTTCAGGTTATATATTCTAAAATATCAATTGATATCACAATCATCACAATCAACACAAGCTTTTACACTATTTACAATATATAAATTATTAACAAAGTTCATTATTAAACAATTTTGTATTAAATAAATGCAGTGTTTTATTGTTGAATATGAAAAATAAATGTCATTCTAACAAAATTTTAAGCTTATATATTACGTCCGTCAAAACTGAGAATAAAAAAAATTAATAATTTAATAAATTGATTTTTTATTTTAATTTCATATGTAATGATCTATACAAAACGAAAAAGCGTCATGCTCTATACCAGATCCGAATTAATCTTCATAAAAACTTCGAATCAAATATTTTTCGTATTTAGATTGCATTTTCTTCATAATAGTAATGTAAATATGACGACAAAACTAATATTTTTCGATACACCTTAGTGTAAGGGCGTCGCTGCTTAAAATTTTTGTCGTTTTTTTTTGATGATTTGGAACTTAACCAAATACATTTTTATAATAACAGCATTATTTGTAATACGCCAAATTTATATGTTCCAAGGGATAAATGGAAATAACTCGAGTATTTATTTGTAAATTTAAGTAAATCTCTTGTCGTTTTTTTAAAAACTTGATTTTCAACGATGAAGTCACGCAATTAGGTTCAAAGTTTCATGCCCTATAGTCAGATTTTGTAGATGGAATAGTAGCTCCACTAACTCTAATCAAATCTTGCTAAAAATGTCACTTTTTCGCACATTTTGGCACTTTTCCTGCAAAAACCATTTTTGACACACCCGTAAATGCAAAAAGCCCCTCCCTCATTTTTTACATTTCAAAGCTAGATTTCGAGAAAAATTGAAATCATGATTTTTTGAGTGGCAATAATATTTGTAGCTATATGTAGTATCCAAATAATATATTATAGTGCATTCTGAAGTTTACACTATTTTTACAAATTATCAAAAATATTTTGGAATATCTTGCATAACCCGTTATTTGGTACCATTTTTAATTGACTGAAACCTAGCGGTCATTCAATTTATTGTGTCGATGATTCAAAAATTTTGAGACATTATTTCTGAATTAATTCAATCTTCATACAAAGTGTGAAATATGTTTCTCAATGATTACAAGTATAGTCTGGAAATATGAGTCTTTATTATTATAAATAAATAAATAAATAATAATAATAATAAAAATAAGGCGACCCGCTCTTGAACCTTAGCCTTTACGAAATTCAACATGACAGTCTTGTCTTGTCTTGTCTTGTTTGATTTAAGAATTTCTGCAGTTTCTTTGTAATTATTACTGACTGCATAATGAAGAGGGGTATATCCATCTTTGTCTTTAGCATTGATATCTGCACCATTTGAAATAAGAATTTCGGCTGTTTCTTTGCTATTATACCTGGTTGCATAATGAAGAGGGGTATATCCATCTTTGTCTTTAGCATTGATATCCGCACCATTTGAAATAAGAATTTCTGCTGTTTCTTTGCTATTATTACTGGCTGCATAATGAAGAGGGGTCCATCCATCTTTGTTTTCAGCATTGATATCTGCACCATTTGAAATAAGAATTTCTGCAATTTCTTTCCTATTATTAGTGGCTGCTAGATGAAGAGGGGTCCATCTATATTTGTTTTCAGCATTGATATCTGCACCATTTGAAATAAGAATTTCTGCTGTTTCTTTGCTATTATTACTGGCTGCATAATGAAGAGGGGTACATCCATCAGCGTCTTCAGCATTGATATCTGCACCATTTGAAATAAGAATTTCTGCAGTTTTTTTGTTATTATCACTGGCTGCATAATGAAGAGGGGTAGATTCATCTCCGTCTTTAGCATTGATATCTGCACCATTTGAAATAAAATATTCTAAAAGTGATGAAAGATGGAAATTAGGAGAATAAACAAAACATGTGTTGATGTCATTTGTTTGGTCCAAATAAACTAAAAATGATTGAAGATTATTGTATTGAGAACACAATTTTAAATCAATTTTTATGTTGTATTCATTCATCAAAAATGTTACAAAATCGATATTGTGTGATATTATTGCATATTCCATGCATTCATTATCTGGCTTATGTACTTTCAAGCATTCATTCATAATGTCTGGATTTCCGCTCAAAAACGAATATCTAAGACATTTTGGAGTGATTTCTGATTGAAATTTCGTTATTAAAAACTTAAAACAATCAACAGATCCATGATAACAACATAATTCAAGTAACGAAATACCTCCTTTTGAATATGGATATAAATCACTTTTTAATTTTTGATTTTTATCAAATCCTTCTCCTTCTGTAAAATTTATCAATGATATTTTGTCATCATCCATAATAGATTTGTGAATTGTATTTTGTTCGTGAATTTCAGATGAATAATGAGCATCTTCAAAATCGTTAAAAAATTTTCTCTCATTTTCATTCAATACTATATTGTATTCTTTGTAGAAAAGGTAATTAAAAACTTCCCTGATTTTGTTGACCTGATTTAGATGGTATTCGTCAACAATTTGTTTGACAATCGCTAAATATGACTTCATGAAGCGGTTGTTATAAATTGAAAGTTCGGATATATCATTTATAATCATATCAGGCTGAATTTGATAAGAGTCAATCAGGTTTTGTTTGATTTTTTTGTAAATTGCGTTGAATTTTTCTTCGTCATTTGTTTTCAGCCTGTACAAAGCATCGTAGACATCATTGTATCCTGTGAGGATCTCCATCAATTTGTCATAATGGGCGTGGTTAGTTTCTCCCTTGGACATCAATCAAAAATCTTACGATATCATAATCTTACATACAAATTTCGAATTTCGAAAATCTTAAGATATCATAATCTTACATACATACATACTCGTAATTTTTCATAAATTTCTCGATACACATTTTTTAAAGGTACAGTCACTTCCTTCCAACCAAAATTTTGGCCTGAAACTCTAGCTAGAGACTATACATAGCGTATATATGTAGATGTTTGAGTTTGGAGAAAATCAGCTAATACAATCTTGAGTTATATTATCTCCACGAATTTTCTACAGAACTCACTTATACATCGAAACGAGATGATTCAGTACAAGAAGTAGATCAGTTTTATATCATAAAATGAATCATATATCAAAATAATGCGAAGAATTGAAACAATTTACAATATTGCTATAAAATTGAAGCTTACTATATATCGAACTTTATAAAAAGCATATCACGGATCTCATATATTAACTACAATCTTAGAATTACGTTTTGAATCTTCTAAATTGAAGATAAAATAGACTAAAAACTTGATTTATACTCTTTTTATCAGAATGTTTTATTGATTTAGCTTACATTTATTCACAATCTAACACGTTTGGTTCAAAATTACGTATTATTTGGATTGATATTTGTGTATGAAATTATACTTTAAAATTGACCGTTAAATTCATCATATCATATGATAGGAAGTAAAACTGTGGTACTCATTCTGTTCTATTTCACAGATGAAAATTCCAAAAAAAATTCGAAAAAAGAAAAATAAATATCAAAGCTTTGATTTTTCACCAGGAGAAATCTATTTTGAATATTTTTTGGAAAACCAAGATGAAGTATTATTGTACAAACTTGGAATTCGAATCATTTCCAAGTGAAAAAAGCCAATAATTTTTGATTTCCATATTAATTATCTTTATTCTTCAATACAAAGCAAATTAGATCTCAGATATTTTGATAAAAATGATATGTGCATTAGGAATTTCTATATTTTTTAAAGTAAATAAATAATGTCTTTATTTCACCAACAACAAGTAAATATAATAATCGTATCTAAGTTAATCCATAAATGTTTCGTAATTTTTATTGTCTGTAATATCAATTAATAACATTAGATAAGATATCAAATTTCAATATTAAATAATTCTCATGAAATTAGAGTAATTGTCTGGTGAATGAATATTACTTAGTAAGAAATCACTTCTGAAAAACTTCATGAAAGCATTTAAATATCGCAATTTAATCTCTCCAGAAAAATTGTATTAGCCGAATTACTGCATATTTCAACAATGTATTCACCATTTGAATGCGATTTATATATCTGATTATCTAACAAAAATTTTGGCTGGATACCATGCAGTGGAAATTTCATTTTTTATTATATGCTTCTAAAACGTGATTCATTGTTTTAATCATTTTTGAAGCTATCTTATTACTGTGAATGGTTTTTAACGATATTTACTGAAATTGCAGAATATAATCAGCCCGAAGAGGGTTCATCCGAATCAATATGCATTGAGAAAGTATAGATGGCTATGTTCTATTGCAATGTCACATTGAAGGCTTTTTTAATAAAATACATAGGGAGATTGGACGCATGTAAATACCCTAGATATTTTTTTTTTGAAATAGTCCAACTCGACTTTTTTCAAATTCAGAGACTTTAATTAGGAAAATACATAATAGCATATAGTACATATTACTGATATGGGTTTAACTTGTTTGACGGTTATACTTAATATCATCTATTGAAGACAAAAGAAATACCTTATATAATAGTATTACTAACACCCTGCACACTTTCAGACCAAAAATTAGTAAACTCATTGATTTTGGTTTGTGGAGTTTACGTATCGTTGAAGTGCACCCTTTAAATTTCATGCAACAATCATACGTGCTCACATTAATTATTTATTTGATTTAAGTAACTTTCAATAACGTCCTACCTCTGTTAAAGAATTGCAATGGTAGTTTAGATGTGCCAGTGAATCATGAAGTTAAGCAAAAGTATTCATATCCAACGGAGTTTCCAAAATGGACAGAACCAGTAGAAGAACTATCTCTTGGAATCACCCAAGACTCCATAAAATTTAATCGAAATTGCAAACTATTTCAATTTCTTCGATCTCAATATCCCTATAATATCAGATTGGTAAAGCATTCCAATGATCGGCTTATGTTCAAAGGTTGCAACTTGTATATCTTCAATAATCTTCTATATCTTAACATGTTTGTTAAGATGAATGATGATGAAAGAAGTTTTTGGGAAAGTATGCAATCAAAACCTTCATTCGTTCTTTGAACGCGTGTAATTATACGATGGCATGTGAAATTCTCAATTTATATGCATTTCTTGTAGGTGGAGTCATATACAGATATGCGAAACTTATAGGTGCAGAAGAAGTAAGCGAAGAGATCAAAACATTCGCAAAATGCTTCAGAATGTATGATGATTTTGTGATCAATCCATATGGGAATTACCTAACTTTCAATTATTCAGATGGTATGCAAAGAAAATATTTTATTGATCCAGATATCCTCCATTGGAAATTGTCTATGATGGTCCTGTTTTTGAATAAAATTTCTTATTTTCCAACTAAGTATACTATACATGATAGTTGCCATTTGGAGTGATAAATTAGGCTGCATCAATAATTTCTTATATTTCTGTAATGACGAGCAGAAAGGAAGCGATAAGTAACCCTCGGAAAAAAGAATAGGAGTGTCACTTTTCATGGGGGTTTCATTTAAACTTGTTATTTTTAAGATCATATTCATTAATAAGCTTTGATATAGATTTTTATTTCCGATCATTATTGTCAAAAATTTTACTTTATTTTTTGTTGATGAAATGAATTTGCCAGAAAAATTCCCTTTAAACATGTTACCTCAGGTATTAGATTGCATTTCCAACTACAATAAGCAAACTTTGTTGGAATTCAATAAGAAACTCGCTTCTGAAGAAAAAAAATTATCAAAAGAGGACATTAAAACATTTAATCAAAACATTATCGATAAAATTCTTAATTCTCAAGCAGCCAAAGATATTGGTAATGGACTTTTGTTCCTAATTCCATGCAGTCGACTCCCTGTCAAACAAATCTACGAAGCAGTATTTAAAATACAAACTTACAACAAAAAAGTTCGTATTGAAAAGACAATTAAACATCTTCGAAAGCTATTCAACCAAGAAAACAGTTGTTTAAATGCATTCGGCTCATTTTTCACTCCAGATCGTTGCAGTTACATTCATTTCCTTATCATGGCTCATATTTTCAATAACGCGAGCAAAGATACTAAAAAGAATGTGATGGCAACGTTTATTTCTCTTGCACCAAATTTTGATAAGAATGCATTGACGCATTTAACTCCATTTATATCATCAATTAATCAGAGTATGTTTTTTCAATTCGTTAGGCCATATTTGGACTCAATGATGCTTAGATCTGCCGAAACTATTGTACAATTCATTCCTGACTTCATCTTACCGCTACAATTCTCGATCAACTACTTCCCAAAGAGGACATACTCCAACTTTATCGAAACATTATCAAAATTATGCGAATCGCAAAACCAAAATTTGGCTCTTTTAAGCCAAACTACGCTTTCTAAGATAGCTAAGAATATTTCTCCGAAATGTATTTTACTAAATTCGAAGTCAATTGTCGCTTTCTACTCTCATATCGATCCTTATCCAATATCGATCTCATTAGCATTACAAATCCTCAACTCTAAGCAATATTCACCTTCAGCACGAATAGAAATCAAGTACTTCCTCAAAAGAGCTATCGAAATCTCATCAGAATTCTTTGATATCGACGATTTTATAAATAATGTCGTAATTCCAGAAAAAGACTACTCATTGCTTTATTTAATAGCAGATAAAAGCAAAAACCATGACAATATATTGAATTTCATTAAAAATATTAACGATCCTTACATAAAAGTCCTCAAATTGAAATATAACAACGAATTACCATCAGAAAATGACATTTCAGCACTTCTTACTCCGAAATTACTCAAAGAAATGAACAAAATCGATATAAATTTCCTTGATGTCATTTTTGGACTTACTTACAAGATTTATCCAGAAACAATCGCTAGAGGATTGATTTCTGCATTAAATCTGACTAATTTCCAGTCTCAAATCTTTGATTGCATCAAAAAATATTTGAATGAATATAATTCTACGTTTGTTAATGCAATTCTTGCTGCTTTCAGGATTAGAACGCCATCAGATTTATTAAAACTTGATATTAACCCTTATTACTTTGATAAATTGACCTTAAATCAGAAAACAATGTTATTAATCGCTGGATACAACTTGGAAGATGATGATCCCGAACTAGTTCAGAGTATCATCAACACAAATGATGGAGAATGGGGTAAACAAACAATAAATGTCTTGATAAAATTGGCAAGTCGACCAAAATGCCACGTAGAGATTGTTAAATGGCTAAACAATCAGAACATTTCACCAGAATACGTGAATCTCTACATAATGATCATAAAATCGTTCAATTTGGAGTCGGATAGAGAATTAATCGAAAAAATCTTTTTGAAGAACAAAGGAGAAAATACAGGAGAGAACTTCTTAAGAGGTATACTCGAAAACATACCACGATACAAGAATTCCTCCGTAATTATCTCAAAAGCCCTTTCAAATCTCGATAGAATTGAAATGATGAACAGGAGAATCCTCAATTCAAGTATTCCTCAGTCCAGGAATATGAACGAATTCGATTTCATCCTTTTCCTTCCATTTATGAAACATTTATTATCAGAAAATGACTATATTTCAAGAAATGCGGCCAGAATACTTGCAGAATTCTCATATATACAGTTTGACCATCACGAATACTTCAATTATGTGGTTAAATATGTTGATAATGCTTTGATCGTAGATTATATCGTTATGTCAAAGCTTGATGAGCAAACATGCAACCAGGTAGCACATGTTCTTGTCAAATCCAAGGAATTATCAAAGATTGCCCTTGAAAAATTTGAAGAAGATGACAGATTTAAGAATTCTCTTCCAGTTTGCGTATTAACTATGCATGAATTGTATTCTTCATCTCTTCCACCCTTCAAAGACTATCTTTCTATAATGGTTGGCTACAAATTAGAAACAGATACAGAAACTTGCCCGGCAATCGCCTTAGCAATCGAAAAATCTCCTCAATACCAGCCTAACTTTGAAGAAAACATCAAACTCTTACTTAACAATTCCATTTTATACCCTAAAATTGTTCTTAAAATTTTATCTCACCTTACAAACCTCAAAAACATGACCAACAGTATCCTAGAATGCGTTTTTGCCATGAAAAAAGACGATATAGATCCAAAGGACTTCAATACATTGATGATTCCAAAAGTTACTCAAAAATATCCGGACGAAATCATCAATTATTACTTCAAACAGCCCAATTTCGAGCATGTCCACAAAGATACCTTCAAATGCCTCAAGAATGCATTCATGTCTTCCCATACTTTACCATTAAATCTCCTTGAAAAACTTGAAAGGTACGTCAACTCAAGTTCATCCGACCAAACAATTTCTATCGTCATCGAATGTATGACAGTTTTACAAGTACAGAGTCCTAAGGCTATCGAGCAGCATGCCACACATATTATAGGTACTCCTGAAGCATACGATACATCTTTGGTCGCATTGAACTTCCATTTCGCGAAATCCCAGAACAAAATAAATTTACTCAAAAATTGGATCACTTCACCTGTGAAAAAAGACAACCAAAATGGTCTTGAAACATTCAGATACATATTCCTTAACGAGAGTGAGAAAGAGAACGCCAACTCTCTGTTGTTAGAACTAGTTAAATACTGTGATAGTTCTGATATTTCAATTGTTAATTCCGCAAAAAGTTGTTTGATGACTGCGGCTTTGACACTTGGAAATGACGCTTTAAGTCCAATTGTTCCTTCTATGATGGATCTCCTTGAATCGAGTCTTCCTGAACGCGCGGAGCAATCAATTATAGATGTGTTGATGGCCATTGGAAACAACCACAAAAACTTGTTTTTAGTTCACATTGACAATGTTTTCAAATTAATTGCTGCAAAAGGAAAAACAAAGAAAATTGAACCGTTTCTGAATTTCCTGGATGAAACATTGTATAACAGTGAATACCCTCCTATACTAAGAATCACTTTCAACGCATTGTTAAAAGGAGAAAACACCGTTGAAATACTCAACAGAATACTTGAAAACATCGATGAAATTAATAAATTCGATGAACTTGCTGTCACTTTTTGTCATTTAATCTCGAATTGTCTTGTTTATAATGACATGAATATTAAGATCAAGACATACCAGATTTTGTCATTATTGAATCTACATGACGAAGAACTGTTGAATGTCATTGATAGATTCGTTGCAATTCGAAATGACCAATATCGAAATCAAATTTTCGAACATTTCAAAGTTTTCGCGTCCAGATTGAATTTGGAGATGAAAGAATACGTGTACAACCAGATCTGGAAGTTCGCACAAGAGTACAAGACATCAGGATCGAATGGAACAAGTCTTTGGCTCAGTTGCATCATATCAGAACTCAATGACACATCGAAATTGGAAATTTTGTTGAATACTTTGAATAATCCAAATATAAATTCAAGTTTACAAGAAATATTATTAGGAACATTGGACAAATTATATGATTTGAAGCCGAGTTTGCTCCAGAACTACAATATCTCCATAGAGAAGACAGTCATTAAACAAGTTGCATCTGAATTATTACTCAAATCAATCATGAAAAAGATTTCAGAGCAATTAAATGATGTAAATAAATCAGAATTTGTTATGAATGTCATAAATGAATTGACAAACAAAAGACAGACGACGAGAGACATGTGTTTGTCAATTCTTTATGATCTTAAACATAACTACAACATGCTAAGTCTTTCTGTACTTGAAAAAGATATTTATTTCGCTTTGTGCGCTGCAATAAACATCTTCCATTTCTCAAACGATGAAAATGCAAAGAAATTGTATTCTTTCATCGACAAAAACATCTTCAAAGACTTGTATAGAACCAATTTCGACTTGTACTTGGGTAACTACTTAAATGTAAGTGAATTAGAACCCTTAGTTCTTCCTGTTCTCATCAAAATCTTCAATGAAGCTTTGAAGAAATACACTTACAATTCAGTAGATACAAAAGAAATTGTCGATTCTTGGAAGAACGTGCCTAACTTTGAAGAACAATTAAAGAGAATTGTTAAGTCAAAAAAACTTACATCATATGGTCTTAACATCTTAATAACATCAATTAATAATGTCAATTGTATTGAGGAAGATAAAACTCTTGTGTCTGAAGTTTCTGGGTCAAATTACAGTCCAAGAATTCCTTTATCTACTGACACGATTAATTTGATATGTAACAAATTAATGGATGTGCCTCCAGGATCTCAAGATGCTGAGAATATCTCAGGTGTTTTGTTCTTGTATCCGTTCTTAATGGCTTATCATAAAAATAATGAACAAATCGAAAAATCAGTTTTCCTTAAATTGGCCGAACAAAACGGTTTGAGATCAAGTTATTATGAACGAACGAAAACACCTCAAGAGTCGTATATACATACATTCGGATCCGGCTCATCCAAACCTATAAAGAGCCAGTCAACATTGCGTTTAGGAGTGTTCACAAAAAGCTACAAAAATGCTTTCATAAGAATTGGAACTTTATTCGGCGGCCGCGAGATCAGAAATTTCCCTCCAACAGAGCCATTGATGGTAGACATGTTACTTTATATGAGCAAGTACAACTCTAAGTTCTTTGTCAACCAGACAGCTCCTTTCGAGTTCCATTCCAGACTGTTATCTCTCATGTTTTCCACACAAGCTGATTTATACACAAATTGCATGAAAATTGTTTACGAAGTTTTGACGAATTTGACAGAGTTCAAAGACAAAATCACGTACATTGAAACGATGACTAAGTTCTTTACTACACAGAAAGTTACATCATCAACAAAACTGATCAAAGACGAGATCATTTTCTACATAATCAAAGAAATATTCCCTAATATAGAAACATGTGACAAAATGGTGAATTTCTTAACAGCTGCTTTTCCTTTCATCAATGAATCAGTTAAAGAACAATGCGCAACAACAATTGTCACTAAATTCCTTGTCGCCATCAATACATCAACTATTTTGAACATTCCTACAGCGATTTCTTTGTTTTTCTCATATGTAGACAAAAGTTATGGAACAGCAACTTTGATAACTGTTTTAAGTATCATAAAAGAAAGCGAAGATCCAAATATAATGAGATGTGATTTGTTAAATGTCGTTGATAGAATCATAGAAAGTTATGTGAATGTTAATTACGTGATTTTGCTGTTGAGTCAGAACTTGAATGATAAGATTTCCCATTTAGTTCTTGAAGCAATTTCTCATGCACTAGGAACATTGAATACAGTAACTCTGCCTGAAGCAATGCAAGGATTTTTGGATTTCTTAAATAATTTGTGGACAAAAGTGTCACCTTTTTACAATAATCCAAGAGATTTAAACAAAGTTTATGTAGCAAAAATAGGAGCACAGATTATTAATTTGTTGGATAATAATGATAAGTTTAATATTGTTAATTTCTTGTTCGAGAAAAACATTGATATTTCAGTTGTTTCCATTTTTTATTCTACATTGAAATCTCCAAAAAATTTCAAGAACGACAAAGCTCTGGAAGCAGCCAAAAAGTCTATGTTTGATTACTCAAAGACTATTGAAATTCTACAGATCTTGCAGTTCATGACTGATGTTAAAGTTATCTCTAATTTGGATAGAATGATTTATTTAGTCAATGCTTTGTTTAAAGGAAGTTACGCAGTTCCAATGATGTGTTACGATGAATTGAAGAGATTGGCTCCGGAAATAAGACAGATAAAGATCGAGGATTCTTCTGTTTTAGTGTCTGGAATATATTTCGCAATGAAGAGCTGCAAAGATATTCCAATACAACTCTTGAGAAAAGCAAGAGAAACAATAAGAGAAATATTGATTGGTTCTTCTGAAGCTGATGCACAAAAAGCGACAAAATTCAGAGAAGATTATTTCGAATGGATAGGAAAAAGCGATCAGAACATTGTACAAGATTTTAAGAGAGAAATCTCTGAAAAATAATGTTTTATTATATCTTTTTATTTAACGGATAATTAAAATGTAATTTATTTTATTTTCGATTTTGAACATAACATCTCATCTAGTTCATCCATTCTTCTTGCATTCTTCGACCTGGATCTTTATCCAGTTAAATATCTTTCTGATGTCATCCTTCAAATATGCAGGTGAGTATAATTGGAGTTGCGGTCGCGAACACTTTCAGAGATTTGGTGGTTGACATTCTTGGCCTTCTTGTTTTCGAATGAGAGAGTGCTATTGACCAACTGGTTCACTGAGACTATTTCTTCTGAGCCAATATTCACAAGATTATGGTTGTTTATATTATAAATATACATAGAAAAAGTTAAGTATTCGCTTAAAGAGGAGATCATCAATTCATTAATATATATTTTTTAAATCATGTTTGATAAGAATTAATTGAGATGAAATATAATATCTCAATTTTATATTTACGGGAATGGAATATTATATTTACGCGTGTACAAATGAATAGATATATTACCATGTCTGAAAAACAAAGAAAATGCAAACAAATCAAATATCTATATAAATTTAACATAAAGAACAATTGTAACTAAGGAAATACATAACTTTACTGAAAATTCGAAACATTCTAAGAAGCTAATGATAAGCTTATTGCATAAAATTAGAAATATTTAAAGAATATTGAAAATTTATAATGGATAGCAACCATCCAGTTCGTATTTCAATATGATGCATATATTGGCAACGAACATTGTGATTATTACAGCCAGAGTAGCAAACTTGGAAATGCAATATTTGAGCAATAATTTTTTAAATGAATTTTGCCCTCATTTTATCATAATTCTTAATTATCGCTTCAATATTTGGATACGTCTAAACAAGTATTATCATATGATATAAAAAATTCGTACATACGTTAAATAAGAATTTGAGAAGTTTACGAGAATTTACTGAGGAAAATAATCGTCAGCCAAAATTATTGCAAATGTCTTCCTCCAAACGCAGAAAATCCGGCCGCGCTTCACGTAGTTCAAGCCATGAGGAATTAGAGTTTTCAGATACCTCTACAGAATCAGAGGAAATGGAAGAATTAAATGATGAAGAAGAGCAAAAACCAGAAGAAGAAAAGCAAAACGCAGAAAAACCAGCTCCAAAATTACCATTCTTCCTATCCTACTTCAATCCTCCTGAGGGATTGCCTGAACCTCCGATACCATACGAGCCTCCACCGCCACAGGTACAAGCTATCATTGGTATGAAGGAAGAAGAGAACGAACCATCGCCTGTAGATCAAGTTTACTTCACTAAATGGATTGGTAGAGCTTATATACATGCATCATATGAATGTCAAGAGGATCTTAAGCAATGCGATGGTGGAGACTTAGCTCTTAAGAAGTTCAACAACAAGCTCAAAGGATTTGGACTTACAGCTTCAACATCTCAGCCAGAATTATCTACTTTCGACCCAGACGATATTAACAGCGGCTGGTTTGAAGTTGATCGCATTATTGCACATGAAAACAATAAATACCTTGTCAAATGGGGCAACTTACCATACGATCAAGCCACATGGGAATCAGAAGAAGATTTACCAGAGCCAAACAAGATTGACGAGTTCATAGCTAGAAAGGACCGTTGCGCGCCAATGCATACACCTGATGAGCCTAAAATCGATTCAAAACTTTACACAAAAATCGAAACTCCTTTGGAAGATAAGCGCGGAAACACTCTTCGCGATTACCAACTTCAAGGCCTTAACTGGCTTCGTTACTGCTGGTACAATCATTACAATTCGATCCTTGCCGATGAAATGGGTCTTGGTAAGACTGTACAGCTTGTTACTACTCTCATAGAGGTCTCCAAGGCATCAGGCATCAGAGGACCATACTTAGTTCTCGCTCCTTTGTCCACATTGCACCACTGGGAGAAAGAATTCCAAAATTGGTCAGATTTGAATGTGATTGTTTACCACGGCTGCCCGCTCGCCAAAGAGGTTATACAGCGCTACGAACTCTGCAAGATAGAAAACGGCGTAAGAGATACAGAAAAACTGAATTGCGAAGTTGTTATCACAAACTACGAAACGTTTATGTCTGATTTCGAGATATTCCGCAGGGTAGAGTGGAGATACCTCGTTCTCGATGAAGGACATCGTTTAAAGAACCATCAAAGCAAATGCTACGGATTATTACAGCAATTATCATACAAACACTGCACATTACTTACAGGTACACCTATACAGAACAATGTTGAAGAGCTCTGGTCTCTTCTTCACTTACTTCAACCAGAACTTTTCGATGATCTTCCTGCTTTCCTTCAAGAGTTCGGCCAAATCGACAACGCCCAAACTCTTCAAAATCTACAGCAAGTCATCAAGCCATTCCTTCTCAGAAGAAAAAAATCCGACGTAGAAACAACAATTGCAGCCAAAGAAGAGACAATTATACAAGTCGAGCTTACTAGGACACAAAAGACCTTCTACAGAGCATTCCTTGATGAAAATCGTGATGTTCTACTCTCACAAATTACATCAGGTGCATTACCTTCATTAAAGAACCTCATGATGCAGCTCCGCAAGGTCTGCAACCATCCTTACCTCATCAAAGGTGCAACAGATACCATTTTGGAGCAATTTACAAAGGCATCTCCAGAAAATACTCCCAAATCAGACATAGAACTCAAAGCGCTCGTCCAATCATCCGGCAAACTCATTCTCATTGACAAGCTGCTACCGAAACTCAAAGCAGATGGTCACAAAGTCCTCATTTTCTCCCAAATGGTCAAAGTATTAGACATTTTAGAGGATTACATCGCAATCAAGGGCTACAAATGCGAGAGAATCGATGGAAGTGTAGCAGAAAACGACAGACAAGCAGCTATAGAGCGTTTCGGAAACGATCCAGACGCATTCATCTTCTTATTATGTACAAAAGCAGGCGGAGTAGGTATAAACTTGACAGCAGCTGATACTGTGATCATCTACGATAGCGACTGGAACCCACAGAACGATATCCAGGCCCAATCTCGTTGCCATCGAATTGGACAGACACAAAAGGTGAAAGTATACAGATTGGTAACTCGCGGAACGTACGAATTGGACATGCTAGACAGGGCGTCCAAGAAACTTGGCTTGGATCACGCTCTGTTGGACAGTGTCGAAGTATCAAATAATCCGAAGATGGAAGCTCAAGAGATTGACAAGCTTTTAAGGCGTGGAGTGTATGATATCGCTAATGATGATGATACGGAAATCGAAAAGTTCTGTGCTGCTGATATTGACCAAATTTTGTTGGATAGATCTCATGATTTGAAGACGAATGAATCGAAGACCGATTCTAGCTTCTCCAAAGCCACGTTTAGTGCAGAGACAAACGACGGAATCGATGTAAAAGACAAAGATTTCTGGCAGAAGATGATGCCGAAGATTACAATGAAAGTAGAGAAGCCCCTTGAGCAGAGAAGATGCCGCCAGCACAAGACGCAGTCAACAATCTACGAAAGCGATGATGGAGATGACGATAAACCAAGAAGAAGAGGTTCAACGCCATCAGGCATCCGCCAGTACATCAGAGATATCTGTAAGCATGGTTTCAAAGGCTCTGCAGGCGAAAGAACAGTCCTTTACACCGCAGCAGAAAAAGCATTGTTGGATCCAGCCGACGTAGCCATTATTTTGCACTTGCTGAACATCGAATCGTTCGACGACAGACCGGAAGACATTGTCACCATGCAGGAGAAGTATTCCGGCTCTCTCAAGGAGTGCATTGAGAAACAAAATTCTATAATTGGTCGGACAATGCTCTTTTACAATTTATCATTAATTCTCACCGGCTGTGCAGAAGACCTCAAAACATGGCCTGTCAGCGGTGTAGATGATGATCCTCTCTACGAATACGCATTAATGTACGCAGTTGCCAAAAACGGCTTCGTAGATGCAGACAAACTCTTCCAAGGCACAGGATACCACACAGAGAAGCAGTTGTTAGACAAAGATACAGTCAGAATCGTCAAACAGCTCGTAAAGAACCTTGGAGTTCTTGCAGCCAACGTTGAGCAAGCAGACAAGGATTTCATGACCCCTGAAGAGTGGAAACAAGCCCATGAGAACCTATTTAACAGAACAATCTTGAGCGACGAAGAATATATCTTAATTTTCCAGTTGATCGTTCTTTACGGCATTCCAGAGCCAAAATATCCACCAGCAGAAGGCCAAGATCCTAAACTCGACTTCTACGTCATCCACGAGATGTCGAATCTCAAGTGTCTCAAGTACGAAGCCATTGAACAGTGCTGCCAAGAGATAACTGACCTTGCGCAGGACAAATTGGCTCCAGGACAGACAGACATGGTTCTTAAGCGTCTGAAAGATTACGGAAACAGGATCTGGATGAAGAAGTTGAGAGACAACAACAGGGAACTGAGAAGAATCAGGAATTTCCTCGAAAGAATGGCAGAAGACGAGAAACAACTCATTCCGAAGATGAGAAGTTTCGAATCAGCTCCTGACTGGTGGTCCGCCGAATTCGACATTGCTTTGATGAAAGCACTGGCTCAATACGGACTTGTCTATGTTTCTGTGTTTTTGGTTGACGAAAACTTGCCTTTCCTGGCGATGCTTCCTGAAGGACAAGTTGAGCAGTTCAAGAACGCGGCGGAACAGGAGAAACAAAAAGGAAGACCAGTGAAACCGAAAGACGTCGGAGATTTGAATGTTTTGTACAACGACAAACATAGATTGGGAAGAATTACTTCTCTCATCAATTTCGTTGATTCCAGATTGAACAGACAACAGAGATTGGAGTCAAATGATTCTCCTGACGGACCTATTTCTTATCAGCCAACAATCACTGAACTTCCGTCTCTTCCTCTCGATATAACACAGACATTGACAATTGTTGATTTCGGACATTTCAAGCCTGGTTTCGAGAGTTATCCTGTTGGATATGTCGCCAAAAGACAGTACTTCTCTTTGGAAGACCCGAATGAGAAAGCGTGGTACGAGGCATCGACAAAGATCAATGAAGAGAACCAGTTCAGATTCGTCGTGAAACCAATTGATGACGATGTAGACAAAGTGTTTGAGAGCCACACTTCTTCTGGAGCTTGGGAAGCTTTGATTCAGGAGATTCAAACTGTGAAGGCAAGGAAAGGAATGCCAAAGAGAAAACACACAACAGTTTCAGGTCCATTTATGTATGGATTTTCTGCTGATACTGTTGCTGCTTGTTTGAGGTTCTTAAGAGATCAGGATCTTAATCAATAATAACTTTTTTTTATTTATTTAATTTTTTTATATTATTTTTATATTTTTTTGTTATGACGTTTTTTTATTTTTAAAGAAATCAATTTTATTCTACATAATAGAACTTATTTTTTTACTATTAAGAAAAATATACATCTAGACAGCAGTACTGTAAGGAGACTTCATGAATGAGTTTGAATTAAGGGTGCAATTACATCATTCTGACATTCTCTCAAATATATTTTTAAATTGCAATATTTAAGGTAAAAAGTTAATATTTTTAGTCGGGAAAAAGTTATTACAAATCACAAGATAGTTCCTAATATGGCTTGTGTAAGTGAATCCTTAAATGGAAGTGTTTTTTAAAGCACGATCGTGTTTGTTTTGGTCAATTTGGAGAATTTATTCCAGAGAGACCTAATGACAAATTTTATTTGTTTAATTTTGAATAGATTATAGCTAGGTTTGAGAAATGTTTGTTGAAATATTAGTCCGAATCCTCATCAAAATGGCATTGTATGATTTCAAAGTAATTGGTACAAAGAGTTGCAGCATATTGTATCATCTCTGAATTATTTGGAAGTTGAATGCTTTTAATTGATTGATGGCAGGTAGTAAAATTACTGAGTTACAGCATCCATTATGATTTTGATTTTATAATCAATTATTAAAAAAATCTCAATATTTTTTTAAACACATTTTCCTACGTAAAGTCTCCCTATCGTTTTTCTGCCTCAATATTGAGTGAACCTCTATCAAAAATTTGAATAAGAGACTTTACAAAAGAAAAGGAGTTTAAATCATTTCATATTTTGTAAATAATGGAATGGAATATTTCATGCTCAAGCAGAATTAATTTATTTTCATGTGTAGTTCATGATAAATGTTGAAACTCAGGCAATACAATAAAAAATTTAAAATTTTGAATATTGAACAATGAAATTAAATCAATATTAGAATAGGACCTATGCTCATATTTTGAACATTTATCTATTGATTGACAGATTGGAGGCATATTTCAAAAACTTGACAGTCAAATCTGACAGTGTTTGATTAATGAACGATAAATTCTGATTAATGGATTCGACATGCAATAAGTTTCATCAGTATTATCATTCTCTACTTTAATGCATTCATTTGAAATTTTATCATTTGATTTATCTGACTGTCAGAAAATATTTCTTGAGAGAAGTTCTGTTATACATTTTTCATTTCATTTTTTTCGATGCTACCATTACTTGCATTCCGCACAGCATACAATGCAGATGATGATAACATCGGGCTCCCAATACCAACAAAGTTAGGACTCTTACGTATTGGCATTGATAGAAACTCAGCCGAAGAGTCTGATGACGATAATTGGCATCTTGACTTTTCAAAAAGCGATGCATTTAAACACTTCGCCATTGATTACCATAGCAATGATGAAGAAGATGATGACAACTGGTATGTTGGCCTTTCATACCATTCACCATGGGGTAAATTCTCCATTGGATACCATAGCAACGACGAAGAAGACGACGAAAACATAAGAATTTGGGCAGACTTAGCCACAAAGATTGGCCGCTTTGGATTCGAGTACCATAATGCCGCCGAAGAAGACGACGACAACATCCACTGGACATGGGGCCCAGTCGACTTCGATCTCGAGCTCAATGAAGACAAGAAGGTCAGAGCTAAGAAGCCTGTCCGCATTAACAAAGAGTTATTGAAGCGCTGGATAATGAAGCATGGCCGCCGTTCATTCCCACGCATGTACAAGAAGCATGCTTTACCAAAGTTCGCTGCTAAGAAACTTGTAACTCCAAAGACAAATGGATGGATTAATCCACCATGGTTCGAAAACTGGGCAAGAGCTTATTTGCCAATATTTAAATATTTATAAACATACTCTTTGAAGATTTTCATTTCTTCAAATGAATATGATTTTAATGTTTTTTAACCCTTTATATGATTTCAATACTATTTTGAAATGATTGCCTGGTATAGTAATAATAATTTTTAAGTTAAAGAAAGTTCGCCATTAAGTTCCTGTTATATCATTATCAACGCAATATATGTATGGATAATAAATATTTTTGAAGCAAATGCAATAAAAAGTTGTCTATATGTAAACGAGAATATATATATATATATAAATATAAAAGGATTAACATGAATTGTAAGTAATTATTAGGATGGTATTAGCTAGAAAAAAAGTGTATAAGTTATCTAATTCGTTTGATTATAATCAATATTGATTTAAATCGTTTTGCATTTTCCCTTCTTCCAGGAATCGGACTTTATGTGTTATATCTTCCTTTTTGGAGTTGAGTCTTTACTCTTAATTAATAAACTTAATTCTTTATTTTTGGAGAGATGAAATATTTCTATCAATTTTAAAAGAATCCATTCTGTTTAAAACAATTAAACATAATGTTTAAATTTGATATTTTGTTCTATGGAGATCAAGTATCTGAGTTAATATATATTTTTTTTCAAGTTTGCTTTTCATATTAAATTAGATCATCAAAAGTTTGGGAATTCAAAAGAAGATTCATGATATTTTTATAATCTCTATTTTTGTTTTGATTTAGTGTTACATAATTAAGTGCAGTATATCCTCCATTGTCCTTCTCATTAGCATTGGCACCAATCGAAATTAAATATTGTACAACTTCAAAATGGCCATTCATTGCAGCACGATGAAGTGATGTTTGATTAAACTTTGTTTTGTCATTTTTATTAAATCCAACCTGAATAAGATATTTAACTATTTCTAGATGGCCACTATCAGCAGCGATAATTAATGGAGAAAAGCCACTATTAGGTTTTTTAAATGGATTTCCTCCCATTGATATGAGATATTTCACCGTTTCAAGATGCCCATATCTTGATGCGAAATAAATGCAATTAGCATTATTATTTTGTTTAGAATCCGCATCACATCCAATACTTATCAGATATTTAACTACATTAAGATGTCCATTTTGGGATGCTGCTAGAATAGCATTGAATCCATCTTTTTTATCTCGCCAATTTTTATCAAATCCAATTTCAATTAAATATTTTACAATATCAAGATGGCCATTTAAAGATGCCTCAAGCAAACAATTACATCCAGATTTATTTTTTGCGTCTCTAATGCATCCTCCTTCAATTAGAGATTTTGTTAATTGAAGATATCCAATATAACATGCCATTAGAAGTGGAGTATTGTCATTTGAATCTCTCTTTTCACTCAATCCAATAACACATGAATCAAACATTTTCTGTTGATCTCCATTATCAGAAAGCTCTTTAAGGTACATATAAACTTTGTTAAAATTGTCTGAGCTGTTCAATTCTGAAACTTTTGATAAATAATTTATTGTTTCAATCATTTTATTATTTTCATTTTTAAGTATAGTAATTTCATTCTTGTATTGCTGTATTTCATTTTCCATTATATTTACCTTTGAATAAAGGTTTTGAATTTCGGAATTACATTCTTTGACTTCATTTCTATTCGAGGTATGACTTAATATGTAATTTTCAAAAAACTTTTTCAAATCACGAGCTGATTTCAGTTTGAAATTCTTTTCGTAATTTTTTAGAATCTGCATTGCTTCATCAAAACTATTTATACAAACTCTACACTTTCTGATGTAGTTGAATAATTGACTTGTGGAATATTTTGATTTCCCTTGCATAATTAAAGCATCGAACATTGTTGGATTAAACTTTGCTATTTTGAATACTTGAGAAAGAGTCATCTTATCAAGAATATCATAAATCCTCTCATCGTCGAGGTATTCTTGAATGTGGTTAGCCAAATAATTGACATTTAGAGTGAGATCTTCATTCATTTTCTAAAAACAAAATTTTGAAAATGTTGTAATTATGAAAGAGAGAGCTATGACGATAGAGCAGACTAATAAATTACTTTTCTGTATTGAAAACCGCATACATTTGAGTATAATTATGAAGTTATTATTACACTAAAGGGTGCTTTTGGTGACTTATAATTCAAAGATTAATGTGACTGTTTAATGGTTTTTTTTTAATTTCAAATTTTAAACACCAAGTAAAGAAATAAAAATGAAATTAAATGAAGCAAAGAGAAGCAAAAGGTCAAGATCAGATTTATTGTTATCTGATAACATAAAAAACGAAAAAAAAACTCAACTGCATTAAAATTGATCGAAAAATAAAAATTAAAAATAAAGATATAAGATAAATTAGTGAAGGCTGGTGTATTAAGAAAGGTAAACGTTGATAAGATTTGGTCTAAGATAAATTCGATTGTAATAGTTTGAAAATGAATTGTGAATTTGAGAACCAAACTTTCAAAATATTTGAATTTCATTTCAAAAAAGCTTACAAAATATATCGATATAATTTGGTTATAAATCTATTTCTGATTTGTTGAGTTTAAATATAATTGAAATAATTTATTTTTTGAAAATGCTTTTGAATTTCAGTTACGGTTTAATTAAAAATATATCTTATTCATCTGATTGAATACTGGATTATCCATGAATGAATTAATTTAACAAATTCAGATTCAATCGATTCAGAATTGATTCGATAATAGCGGTTATTCTAATTCAAATATATTAAATAAAAAATTAACGCTTTTCTCCTGTAAATAAACATCAAATTTACGATCGTTTCGCAGGATAAAATATCAGGATTAGAAATTAGATAATTGTTTCTGTTTTTCCTTTGACTGTAAAGAAATATATTTTATAACAAAGTGAAATTCAAAAGAAAAGTTAACAAAGAATGTGTAAGCCAATGACCAGCCACTATGAATAGCTTTTGTCGTTGGCTTTTCTTTCTTATTTTTCTGTTTTTAAATTATTTGCAAGAAAACAAAAACTCAAAATTTAAACTCCAAAACAAGTGGATAATACTTTGTGGGTATAGTTCAATGAAACTTTATTTTTAAATTTCTTTTTGGACTTCTAGATTTTAAGAAAAAACGGAATCATGATATGGACACTCAATTGCAACCAAAATGGTGTAGAAATCATACATGAAAGTTTAGTTTCCTTTTGTTCTGTAGTTAAAAAAAAATAACATTTTTTTGAAAAGCAAAGTTCATCAAAAAAAGAAAACTAAGCAGCAAAAGGCCAACTATGAAGAAAAAGAAAAGATAGTGTTCAATAAATTGTTTGTTCGAAACTTTATATGGTAAACAATTTTTTATTGAGAAAATAAGATTGAAAAATGACCAGAAAGAAAAACTATTTTCGTTTTAATAGCCTTTAAAGAAAAAATGTTGGCATAAAAGTTGTTAAGTTTTTTTAGCTTCTGATGTGAAAATTTTTCGAAAAAAAAAATAAAAATAAAGACAAAACCTAATCGAGCTTTGCTATGAATCAATTTTGAATCGTTTGCTTTTATTAGCTTTTAATTGGAGAAAAATCTTTTTACGAATTTGGGTTATGTTCATTTACGAATGTCCATTTGAAATTAAAGCCATTCAAATGATTGAAATTTTTTGAATTGTAAATAATCGTAATCTTATAAGATTTAATCTCATGTTAGATTTGATAAATAATACTATAATTTCTAATTTCAAAGAATAATTTTGCAAATTACCTCAGACTTTTCAGAGGATTGAGTGGCAACTCAATCCTCTGAAATAGTCTGTGGTAATTTTTAGTCTCTACACTATTTCAATATAAGCTCCATTTTTAAACAGTTTTTAAAAATCGAGCATTGAAAAGTGTGATGAGACTTTTCAATTTTCAAACCGATAAAATTATTCAATAGTATATTATATGCTCATATTTTTACGCATAGTTTTCACGGTCATTCAATTTTTGTGGCATGGATTTGTAAACTATTTAAAAAAATTCTGAATAAAACTTTTATATGGATTTACAAATTTTCTATAGCTTTAATCAACATTGTTTCCCTTCACCGAAATAACAAATTGTTTTTTCCAACACCTTATACACTTGATCTAAAGGCAATCCCCCAAAATATTTTTGATTTTTGGCTACATTTCTTATTTTATTTTTTATTTTCAATTAAAAAACACCCCCAAAAAACAAGTTAACCCAAACTCCTTCGCAAAACCCATTCTTAAAAGCTACATTTCGTTTCCTTTTTTCCTTTTATATGAACTGTTATTATCAATTTTATTTTCAAATTTTATTTCCAATTTTAACTACAACTCTATTAACATCGAACTTTCTTTTTTACAGTTCATCTGTTTTCGTATGAGGTTTTTTGCTTTCTTTTTTTTTATTGTTTTTTTTTATTCGGTTGTTATTTTTCAAAAAAAAAAGCCAAATAAAAATCAATACTATTTTTAACATGTAATTATTGTTGATTGCTTTGTGAGCTTCTACCAATCTTTTTAACCTTTATTTTAAATTTTTTAAAAATATTTCCAAAATTTTTACTAAAGAAATAAAAAAAATTGAAAACCAAGAAGTTCCAATTAAAAAAGATTTAAGAGAATTGTTTGTAATAAAAATAAATAAAATTTTTTTATTTTTTGTGCTGCTCAAACCATTGTTTCTTAAAGTCCTGAATCTTCTGCTTCAATTCTGGTAGAGGAATCGCATCATTTTCTCCAAGAGGTGCCTGGCTAAGAGGGCATTTTCCTGAAGTTCTAAGTAAGTTCTCGAATGTGAGCTGATCAACGATAGTATCATCGGGTAATTTTACAGGATTCTCCATTAAGTCTTCTGTCAACTGATCGTTGAATTCTCCTGGAATATCTTCCCATGGAATGTCTATTCTCTCCAACTCTTCTTTCTTGGCGAATACCAGTCTGGCGAACTTAGAAAAATCGGCCTTAAGAGTCGAACTTCCGATTTTCTGGATGTAATCGAGAGTTTTCTGAACAAGATCGTTAGAATAAAAGGCTTCGTTATTTACGAATGCGCAGATGTACTCATCGGAGATACAATGGGATAGCGTTGTGGCAATTGCCTCGAAGAAATCGTTGTAATGGAATCCGAAACCGATAATTCTCTGCGAAAAGAAGTTAATGTTCTTGTAGATGAGGAAATTGAGTGTGGAAAGTGTTAATGAGGTTAATTTCTTGATAACTCTTTCAACACTGAAGATATGTGGGAGGAAACTTGTAATTTTCTCAATAAGCTTCAAAGCTTTATCTGTTGTCTGGATGGTTGTCCTCAAAATACTCTTTTCGGTTTCGATTTCGGATGTATCGCGGCTATCGCGTGGATCTGGGTCTTTAATTGCGTATTCCTCAAGAAGTCTCTGCATGTCGCCCAAATGGAGGATTGTATCATCGACCAAATGGAAGACGACATCTTGGTAGATCTGTTCATCGCAGTGTTGAGCGAAATAATTCTTAAATTCGTTAAATTGGAACCAATATCTCAACAAATCCTGCGCGGTGTTTCTGAAATTGAATCTATCGTAATATTCGCTGTGCGATCCTGTGTTCTGGACATCACTGAAGAATTTTGCCAAAGATGGGATCATTTGTTCAGCAATGTGTGGTAATCCAGAGACCAAGAAGCATTTTTCGTGGTCCTTAGATATTGTTGCGAAGATTTCTACGATATCTGACTTAATAAACAAAGAGTTGATGTAATCGTAGTTAGAAAAGATCGCAGACAGATTACAAAGGCTTGTACTGAGGTTCTGAGGTGGTTCAAGCATAATGATGAGGTTCATCACATTGACTAACCCGCCAAGAATGTAATCAGGTAAAAATTTGTAATCAAGTGGCACTTTTTCTGGTAATTTCGGTTCTTGGTAATTGGCCTGATTCTTTAAGAATATGAATGAGCAGTTAAAGAAATCTATGAAATTGATCAATTTGTCTTCCATTAATATATGTGCTTCCAAACAACTTACTGCGAGGGTTAGCTGCTTAATTTCGAAGTCCTGACCTGGAGTACGGCGAGAGCGGTTAATGTTGCGGCTGAGATTAGGAATCATGCGGCAGAAAGAGCAAGATACGAATGAGATGCATCTCCATGCCAAGAAAAAGAAATGGCTGACGAGCGTGATATCCTTATTTTGGCACTGATCCAATTCCTTGGCGTATTCTTCGGCATCGAGCCTTCCTTGGTAGTTTATTGGATCAGAATCGTGGATATCTTTGTAGTAGCTCCTTCCGAAGTCGGATCTTGGGTCGTACCATTTGTTATTTTCGCCGGTTGGTGCAAGAAGGTTCACATCTTCGTCAATTTGAAGAACTGCGTTAGAATTGTAGATATAATGGGGATCTATGTTGTTTACCTGCTTCTCTGTAAATAATGCTAAGCGAATTAATGTGTATTCGAGGTGGTAGCCGATGGCTTCGAGGTACATTGCTTTGACAGAGTTATTAAACATGATTCCGTCTTTATTGAGTATGCTGAGTGACTCTACGAGCTTGCCCATCAATGAAACAATCTGTTTGCGTGTTGAAGGAGCAAGTAAACTCTTGAATAAATCGAATAATTGAGTATGATAGTTGAAGAATGTCGAATTGGCAAGTTTTATTATCTCTTTGGTGAGATTTCCGTTTGGATCAGAGAATATCTCTGTGCATCTGTCCAATCTATCATGTGGAAAGATGGATTGAGATAAAAGTTGTTTAATAACGGGTTCGAAGTATTGGGAGTTGGCGAAAGCGATTCTTATATCATTGAAACCTAAGAAATAGTTGATAAAATTGATGTTTGTCGCTGCATATGTAACATCTCCTTTCATTGTTCTGTCAGAGAAGATCGTTATGGAAAGGATGAATAACTTGAGTCTATTTTCTGACTCAAACTCGTTATTTTCGTTCCTGGCAAGAACAAGTTTAATAAATTTTTCAACCCAGTTCCAGTTGACTAATTTGCTAACGACGTACTTGACAAAGTGCTCGGCAATGAGAGAGATTGTGAAGTCCTCTTGGAAGACTGTTGGTATGTCGATCATGCATTTGATATAATTGTCAGCAGCTTCTTTAATCAGCTTGCAAACGTTAGACTCGGACTGTATGGATGATAAGAGAATAAGAATTTGGAACGATGAGACCTTATTCTTATCAATAGAAGACATTATATTAAATATGAACTCGTCTTGGCTAAAATCGCTTGAAACAGTAGAGGCTATAGTATTTGTAAGGAGTTCTGTATCCAAGGCTGGCATCTTACGAACGAACTCAAGAAGCTCCGGCTCTAATGACATCAGAACAATCTCAATAATGAAAAGCGAAAAAAAAAATTTGACAACAGGTTACAAAATTTTTCCATTATAAAACTTTCACTTCCTGATTCACAGTTGCAAAATAATCTAATCCCGAAATTGTTATGAAACTCAAAAAAATTCCATTTTGTATAAAGGAAAAATTCCATATTCAGTCCCACGCATTGAACTAATAGATGACTATATACTAAAGATGATTAATGTACCGCATTATTCAAGAAAAGGAAGACATCTTGATAGAGAATTGGAAAAAAATTTCAATTTCATTGAAGTCTATGATGAATGGATCGGACATGAAGAACAAATACAATCAGACTTCATTGGAATACTATCGAAATTGCTTCAATCCTTTGATTTTGAATGAATTTTCCAAAGAATTAGCTTTTTCAATAGTTTTATACATTCTAATCGAATGATGTTCATCCTGTAAGCCTCTTACATCTTGAATTATATTTTTTAAAATTCCAAAAAAAAATTCAAAATTTGAAGTTTATCTTTCAAAAATAACTTTTTTCACTCAAAAAACATAATTTCAAATATTTTTGGAATTACAGATGCTAGTTACAATTGATTTTTGTAAGAACGAGTTAATTCTTTTGGCAAAATTCATTGATAATTAGAATAATATGATTGATTCTAAAAAATTATTATTGAACTCCAGGCTTGAGTTGGACATTGAATACTTAAATACATTGCAATAAGCTAAATCGTCATTGAAAAAAATAACACAGTCATCCCGGTTCATATCATTTGAATCAATTCATAAGGATCCAACTCGGTGCAATGGCATACCCAAACACTAAATAACGGTAAAAATTTGTTTCTCTCCTAAATATTTTATATATCATCATTTTTATTAATTTCATTCTCAATTTATTAGACTAAACCTTTTTAATTATGAAATGTTTATCGAAACATCTTCAATGACTAATCCCACATAGTTTTCAATCATTAAACGTCTATAGTATAGCATGACAATAAAAAAGGCATTTTTTCCATTCGATGATAAAGATACTTATCACTGAACATAGAATCTAGCTATCCTATTTTTACTGTATTTTAAGAGGGTGTAGATTCAATAGGTTATTTTATATTTTGAAGGAGCTTTCACAGGAGTTTACGGATGGAGATTCTGAATTCCTTTTTTCAATATGGTGCATAGAATACTTGTACTCCTGATGCATTAGACAACACATCATGAAATAGATATCTTACAGCTGATGGCTTAATAAGCAAACAAAATTGAAGCGAATCCGTTTTTTTGTGAATGATACTGAAAATTGAATTGCAATTAATGAAAACCTTAATCTAAAAATATTGAAAAAAGTAAAGATAGAAAATAGTATTTTATTTAACAGAATGAGTTAAACATTGAATTTAGAAGAATGAGAAATCGAATGTCTCATTCCAATCTATTTGCTCGGGTTCACTAACACCGAGTTGGAGTTGATTTTGTTCTTCTTCTTCATTGCAGACTGAATCAAACAAATCATCAACATTAATTGGTTGCATTTTGATTGGAATTTGCTCTGGTGTTGGTGGCTTAGTTTCCTTTGAGTTTTCACGATGATGTAGTGGTAGTGCTGGAGCTTTTCCCTTCGAAACAAAGAGTGCATACCTGTTCTTAATGTTAACATCGGATCTGTTCTGGAAGAACTTGGCGATTTTAGACCACTTTGGACCCATTTCGTGCACTTTTTCAATGAGAAGGGAATCTTCCTGGACACTCCACGGGCCGTTTGTAACATCTGGTGAAAGGTAGTTGATGTAACGTTCACGGCATTGTCTGGTTGTTCTAGTTTTCATAATAGAAGCAATTTTCTTCCATGCTCTATTTCCATGAATGCGGACTAATTCAATTAAGCGTGAATCTTCTTCAGCAGTGAACTTTTGTCTTGTGGTCTTGCCCTCATTGTTCTTGGTTGCTTCCATTCGCCGAAGGAATGGTAAATACTTGAGAAAAATGACTTGTTATTTTTTTTCTTTCGTTTACGATTAGTGTTAAAAAATTGAGAGACTTGTTTTTCAATGTGTTTTCAATTTTGTAAAAGTTATGATCTAGTATTGAATTTAATTCAGTTATCATAATGAGGCATTTTCGACTTTTCAGGATTATTCATGATATGCTGAGTAAAATAATCTATATTTTCCTTGTTTGAAATAAATTGAATTTCCGAAAATTCCTTTTGAATATCACATTCAATTCTAAGCCAAATTGTACGTAAACTATTTAATTACTAATCTTGGATTATAATTAATAATTCAGGATCCTGATCTAATTACAAATCCAGCTGACTGATTTTTAGGATGATTGCTATGATGGATACTTAATTTATATATAAACATTCCCTTCGTTCTTGTGAACTATAATATACATTTCCTATAATAAATATTGAAAGATACTAGAATTTGAATAGTTCTCAATTCTACAATAATCCCAATTCAATTTTATTTGTGGAGAAATATGGCTGAAACTTGTACCGCCCCGTGATAGGATTTTCAAGCGCATGGTAATAATCTACTCATGAGACACTAATGAGAAAGATTCATTGATTTTGATTATATTTCTCCCCTTTTTTGGTTTTGAATTGATCTAATGTTGGCATATCCATGCATTTTTCCAGCATAAATAATTAGAATTATTGTCATTATGAACAGATATTTCGTCTACTAGATTTTTTATAGTTTAACTTTGTTAATTTAATGGACAGACTTTTGAACATAGGGATTTTTCCAAGCATCAACTCATGATTTAATCGAACTCAAATACTATAGTCCAAATTTAACAATTGTTTTTATAATTAACCCAAAAAAAGTATTAATATGGTAAAATATATACAAAATATATAATTCTTCAAAATTAAGATATTAATACGTAATAATATTTAAATTGTTACAATTTGATATTATATCAAGCAAAATGTAATACAAAATTATATTGAATAATTTGTTTCTAATACAAAACAAATTGAATTCATTAGAATTCCAAATTAAAGGCCCTTGAATTTATGCAAAGCTATTTTTGAATGATCAACAGATATTTTTAAAACATTTCACAAGCAATCATATCATTTATGCTTTTTGAAAACTGAGAATAAGATATATTTTCAACAAAACTAACCATTATCCATATCATATATTTATGTTTAAATAAATTGATTTTTTCAAATTTCAAACGAATCTTTCAAAACCTTTATTTCATAGTTTTTGTATATTTTAATCAATGTCAAAATCTGATTCATTTCCACCATTAAAATAAAAGAACAGTATAAATCAATATTTCTAACGTATTTATGGAAAATCTGTCAAAATTTTGATGATTTCACATGGCTATTCAGCATTTTATTATTAAATATTACTACAGAATTATCATTAATACTAATCCTCTAAAAATCCGAATGAAATTATCTGTTTTTTAATTAACTCATTAAAATTTATGCCCAATTTACTCTGACCTCTTTGCTTCCGTTCATTAGATTCCATTTATATTGCAACGCACCTTGAACGTATTATGAAATCCATGAAAACAATTTCACATCATTCAAATGTATGATCGATATAGAAATGTCTGAGACAAAACTTCGAGCTACCATATACAAAAATCATATTTACAATTAAAATCACACTTGAGATTGAATTCGTGGATTAACCATATATAATACCCATGTATCATCGTTTTTCTTAGCAAGAAAAATATATTTTCTAGTTCAATTCAATCAAAGGATTCCAAAAACGAATTTTTGAATTTTTCAAAAATATAATTGCAAAAATAATAACATTTAATCACAAAAAATAAAAATCTAATTATAAGTGACCATATCCAGATCTCTTCTGAATTAAATCTCTTGCAATAGCAGCCTCTTGATCAAAACTTTCATCAATGTTTACAAGAAGGTCATTTTTGACTGGTATTATCTGTCCTATCATCCATTTCAATGACTCCGTGAATGTTTGATGAAATTCAGCTTTTGCATCTTCGATTGTTTTCTCTCTTCTCTTAAATTGCTCAAGAGATAGAGATGGAGACTTAGTTCTAAACGCGTAGATTACATTTCCGAATTCTTTTCTTGAAGGACATTTCTCCAACAATCTCAATGCAGCAACAGCTCTTTCTTCAAGTTTCAGTTGCAATTTGTCATCAAGAATAACATCGAAGTACAAAGGAAGCCTTTCCAGTTGTCTAGAAAGAATATCAAATAGAGAATCAATCGAATTCAAATGCAAACTTGCAACAGAATCAGAATCAGGTGAATATGTGTATACATCTTTGAAAGTTTGGACAATTCCTGTTGATTTGTTCGCTACAGTTACTCCGTTTTCGAATCTGAAGAAAATTGAAGCAAAAGTGAACAAAAACAGTCTGTCCAGTGAATTTGGTTCGAGCAGTTTGCCCTCAAATGCAATTTCTCCGGTCATTTCAATGAAAAGAGTCAAAATATCATGGTTTTGCCTTGAAGATAACAAAAGTAAGAGACTGAATATGGCAGTTATAGTATCTTTGCTTGAAGATGTAATATTTGTAACAATCCACATAAGAACTGTCTGTACATTCGCATTAGGTAAGAACATGCTGATGATTGGGAACAAATACCATGTACCCATTGCAGTTAACTGCATCGGATCCGCTGCAAACACTTTCTGTCTCCTTTCTTCATCTTCTGGTCTTAAAGCGAGGCCTAGAAGGAGCGGATATAAATCTGGATGTTCGGGTAACAAGCCAAACATCAAATCAAATATCTGACCGCATCTGTTTTTGAGCATCTTGACAACTCCAAGTGATACTATGTGGAAGGAATGTGGCATTGTCCGTAAAAACATCAAAATTATTTCAACACAAACAGGATCTGAGCTAGTTTCGATCAATTTCCAAAACTGGTTAATGGTTATCTTCTTTAATTGAACGTTCGAAAGTGTTCTTAACAAAATAATTTTGAGATCATCTCCGATATTCATTTGCATCAGGCCAACAAGTCGCATGGCATGCAAAGGAGTCGATATACAATATCCCATTCTGATTAATACTAATTCAAGTTCACTTTTCAGTTCATTTGAAAGCATATTGTGTTGGCACATTAACATGTAGTCAACAGCTAATGTGGATAGCAAATTTGGAGAGTTCCTGACCAAATCAAAGACATTTCTTGACCAATCTTTGACAATTTGTGAAAAATCTTTTGTTTTTACCCAAATCCAAGGATTGATAACCAATTCCATGATCCAAAATCCGGTTGGATCCACTGTTGCAATTTCTTTGCAGGCTCTGTACGATGAAAAAGTTTTCAAATAATCTTTCATCAAAAATCCAATATTATATGAGAGATAACGCTCGCACTCCAGGTCAAAATCATGATAATCCTTAAGCGTCAGCAGTTGAAGCAGGTTGAGCATCAAAATATTGAATTTTTGGTCAGTATTACTTTCAAAAACTTTGACAAGTAAAAGTCTGTACTTAGGAAGGCTGACATACTCAATAAATGGCATATTATAGTATTTAACGTTAGGATGCATAGTGATTCCGCTTTCAAATTTGATAGATCCGAATTTTTTGAAACACCCCGAATAACAAATCGGATTTCCGAGCGTTTCACGTGTTGCCAAACTATTTGCGAAGTTTTGATCGATGAAATGGTCGTAAAGAGCGAAAGATCCGATATAACAAGAATTAATTTCGTCAGAAACCATGTCCGTTTTACCAAACTTTATAGTTTTGATTTCTCCAAGTGATGGGCGGGAAAATTCGGACATTCTCGAGTTATCAATTCCGAAATAATTCGTAAACATCTGTTTCGAAAAGTTGTAAGAGAATGCGTAGTGTTCCCACTGAACAGTCTTGAATGGATCAACAAGTAAAGTTACCTTTGTTCGCTTTACTTGGTCTTGGAAGACGATTTCTACTTGATTATGGTTTATCTGTATAATAAACATCCCTCCTTGGTTATCGTAAGCATGTATGAGCTCTATAGGTGGTGATCCTGGCAGAATTAGCTTCTGATCGACCTTCAACCATACAGAAAAAGTAAAATCTTTCGAAAAGAAGTTCGTAAAGTTACCAAGAGCAGTGAAAATCAAATCACAACCAGGATTAAATACAGGATATGGCATCGCCAGTTGAAAACTCATTAAATCTGTAATTCTATTTAAGAAATCTAAGGATTTTGGAGTATATCCCTTACCAAAATACGAATATAACTCACTAATCAATGCATTTGTCCTCTCCTTATGAGAAGCAAAGTTAATAATATTTGAAAATAGGTTAAAAACAATTTCTCTTTGATTTTCTGGTATAAACATTGTAATTTTGGTAAGTTCTGATATTGATACAATGGATTCTTCTGTTTCTGACGTAAGATATTTTAATAATAATAAATCTATTGATTCTTTCACCAAAGGATCGGAATTTCCTGGTGTTGTAAGAATACAGTCATTAAGGATCTTAAGTACACGCCAGAAATCGCGTTTTTTACTATACAATTTGAATATTAAAGTGACAAATTTTGGTCTTCTGAATAAAATTGTTGTATAAGGCTTCGGACAGTACGTAGACCCTTGTACTAAAGCAAGAAGCATATCTAATGTCTGATTATTTATGTTTACCGGCTCTAAAATGTCTAATATTTGTTCTAAAGTTTGAATTTGGTTTGGTTTGATGTAAAAATCATTGGATTGAGCAGTTTTGACCTGGAAGAAATATAATATGTGCATAAGAATCTCATGCGATGGAAAACGTATAAGATATAACAAGAAATAATCAATAAGTGGCTTAATTATGCCATAATCATTAACATTGTATCGAGATGCATTACAACATATTATAAGGATCCTTCTGATAAGGTTGTTGCTCTTTTCTGTGTTATCTTTTGATAATTGATCCAATAAATCAGATAAAGGTATCTCAAATTGACAAGTTGCCCTCATAAGTAGTATTTCCAGGTGGGATAAGACAATTTCTTGAAGGAGGGAGTCTGTTGATAAGTACAAATACTTTTGGAGAAATGATGAAGCTTTTGTCCAAGAATTGGAGGTAGATATGAAGATAGTGATGAAGGAAACAATACTTATGATGGCATCGTAGCATTCTGTCTCAAAATTAGGAAGAATTTTGAGGATTTTTGTCAAAGCTTTAAAAATTATATCCAAAGTAGTATTTGTAAAGACATTTGGATTGGAAATCGTCGACCAATTCAATCTGGCTGTCAAATCTGCAATGAAAAATGGAAAATTGGCAAATTTCTGAAGTAATAAGTTAATTAAAGTATGGTTTTGGTTTTTTGCCATTAAATTGAGAACATTTGTTCGTAGTGACGATAAAACAGGGTTAATTATCTGTGGTCCGAAGAGAGTTTGAGTCGGAATGAAAACTTTTGAGTTAAAGAACGTTTCCTCGAAGAAATGAGCCCAACGAGGGAACTGTTTGAGCAAAATTACGGATATTTCACATAGATACAAGATGTGGTTTTCAGAAGATTTCGAAATTATTTCGTGCATTTGCTCAAAAATCTTTGATTGCATGCTTATTTTGGCAATATGCATTGCAGAAATTATTCCTTCGAGCACATCTAGAGTACTTTTCGATAAAACTGTGGAAAATAATTCTGCATCAGTCATAACTCCTCGGATTTCAGATTTCATAACTAAAGGAGGTCTGGTATCAACAAATGGTTCAACAGGAGCGTTCCCAACAATTTCGGATGGAAAATTTGGTATATTTTGAACTGGATCCAAAATTACATTAAATTCTGGCGGTTTTAGCGATTTAATGTATTCGACCATATTTTCTACTACAGATTGAACAGCTTCGTTTGGTAATTTGTGACAAATTTTTAAGAAAAGTTTGATTGAAGGAATAATAATGGTAAGAAACTTCTCCATTAACATTTTCTTCATGTAATCACTCTGGAGGTCTATGGATTCTGCAAAAGGGGAATCGAAAATTTGTATCATTAATTCAAATGACGTAGGAGTTATGTTTTGAAGCTGTAAAAGGCGTGAAAATGATTTTTTGATGCAAGCTGCTTCCATTGGATTATCTAGTGTTATGCTTTTTCTATTCAAAAGTATAATTAAAGCGGATTGAAAAATATTTTCGGAATTAAGATGGTAATCTATAGCTGTTTGTATTAAATATGGCGTAATATAGCATTTGACGTCTTCGTATAGTTTCAATTCAATGTGTTGAAATGATAATAAAATATTATGTAAAGGATGCACTTGAAATTGGTCTTTTGGAAGTATAAGAAATCCAAGAGCAGAGAGAATGATACCACAATCAATCATATTTTGTTGAATTTTCGTTTCTTGAGTCTTAACTATGTTTGCTATAATGAAATCACCGTCAAAATACTTCGGAAAATTCATTTCTTCAAGAATTGTCGATAGTTTAACCCGTTTATTGAATAATTTTTGTACTTGATTGACTTTTTCTGGGTCGATTTGATAATGCTGAAAAAGTTGAAGTAATCTAGGCGGAAAATCTTGGCAATTCTTTAGAATATTGGTATAATTGTCGAAAAATTGTACCATGATGCTTGGTTCTTGGTCCGCCTTCGATTTCATTGAGCAAAAAAAATTGAAAAATTTTCATCTCACCGAGTTGATCCAAAATTATATGATGACGGTGAATTTGAGGTTGTGAGATTGTTTGCATTTCAGATTTCTTATATTTATTTGATCTTAATTTAAATTATAAACTCCTACGGAAAAGTGACATTTTTTGGAAAAAATCATATTGAATCTATCTGTTCGCGAATTGTCGCATTAATTTCTTGAGAAATAAATCCAACACTCCAAGTATCGAAAGATAACAGAAATATATTCTTAGTATCCTAGTAATAGTTATAATGATTTTTGAATTTCGGGATAATAATTTCAGCTCGAACATCGAGAATACGATATAATTCACTTTAAAAGCGTTTGTGATAAATATTTCAAATGCAAAAAGTTCTATCATGAAAATTTGAAAAATCCCCAGAGAATAAAATTTGTCTTAGATATATTTTCATTCAGGATTTCTATTAATATGATAATTTTAAATCTTTCACCTGAGTATTTTCACTAAATTCTTAACCACAAAATATTGATTTGATACAATTTGGGTTTGTATTGCAGTCACTTGAAAGACATACTAATAACCGGAATTAACTTACTATAATCAGATTATTTATCAAATAAGAGCAATATCTTTGATTTGATTGAAGAAAAAAACAATTTAATTCAATTCCCATAATAGATTATAGGTGCTTCATTTCATCATTAAGCTAGAAATGATATTGTATTCGCTCAGTTTCAAAAATTTGAATAAGTCAAGGTTATTTCAAGTTTCTCCAGAAATATTTTACCACTCAAAAACTTTAAAATTTGGTATGTTCTGTGTTAATATCGGCTCTTTGTAGCAGAGAAAAACATTTCCTGATTGAATGCCGATAATTTCTCTGACAATTTCTTCCAAATGAAATACAGAAAATTTTGTTATCTAAGCTACAAGGATATATTACATTCTTATTGAGATTTATCTAAAAATTTTTCAAACCATCCCGCCGTTGAAAAATTTTGAAAATAATTGCTAATAAAGAAAATACTCTTCAAATATCCAAATATTTATGACGGATCTCAACATTTTGAGATCGAACGATCGACCTCTCAGAATTATGAATTTACAAACATTTTGTACAAAATGTACAAGATTCATATCTCCATTGTTGAAGGTATTTCTCTCCCAAGAATCAATTTATTAACAAAGATCAACCCACTGGTTGAGATTCATTACAAGGGTAAAGTCGACAAAACAAGATTTTTCAGAGATAATCTTGATCCACTCTGGAAGGAAGAATTTTCTTTCACAACAGACACATATGATGGAAAGATTGATTTTATACTTTGCCACGAAAAGAAAGGCACATTTACCAAGATTGCTACTTACTCATATGACTTGGCAAACCTTCCTCTTGGCAACCGCTTTGATGAGAAGTGCACATTTACTCCAGTAATTGATGTTAAGAAAGGTGGTATGATCAGAATCAGAATAGTTGGACAAAAAGTTGGCAATACCATCATTATCAACAACACAGGTCCAGCTCCAGGACCATATCCACCACAAGGATATCCTCCACAAGGACCATATCCACCACAAGGCTACCCACAGCAACCATATCCTCCACAACAACCATACCCGCCACAAGGATACCCACCACAGCAATCATATCCACCACAGCAACCTTACCCACCACAGGGATATCCTCCACAGCCATATCCACCACAACCAGCTTATCCACCACAATCAAACTCTCAGTCAGGCTATCCTCCAATGCCTTATCCACCACAACCAAACCAACCCCCACGTTCTGGTTCAATTGATCCAATTGTTCCATATTAAGCTCTCGAAATCGAAAGCTATCTATCTAAAATGTAAACTTTACTTTTATAATTTTCATGACATATACCGATATTGTATATTTCCTCTTACAAACAAAAATTCAAATTAGCTAAAACTACAAGTGAGCTTTTCCATTGTTAAAATTTATTCTTATATGTTTAGACTTTTAAACAAACGATTTGATTTTTTTTTCTTTTCTAAATTTTTCAATTTTTCAGAAGCTGGCAAAAAAAGAAAATTAAAAAAATGGGTCCAGCGCCAAGTACGGTGCATTTCTCTAGTTATACACCTCTGGGCCCACATAATGATAGAATATTTACTACTTCTTATGATGATGCACCTTTGGCGACGGAATTTTCAAGTGATGCAATTTTACAACAAAGAACTCCAATAAATATACTGCAAGACCTACCTATAGATACGATAATTGGGTGTATAATGACACAACCTAGTTCTTATACACTGGAAAATAATCCAGAAGATGTTTGGTTTAAAATTTTAATTCCATTATTTAAAGGTTCGGACGATAAAGCACCTATATTTCAACAAATTCTTACAGAATTCTTCAAATTCTTAAATGATCGATCAAAAAATACCCTCAATGATGAAGAAAATCGTAGAAATATTCTAAAAGAGGTAATAAACAATAAAAGAAGAAATTTGCAGCATGCATACTCAATCCAATTAGAATCCTACGATATATTAAATGAAAATGAACTAAATAATTTGACAAATACAAAAAATTTGATTTCGAATGCTTTAAATACGATGAAATTACCTGATTTTTCATTTAGAATACAACAAACGCAAACCAATAAACTCATTTCCAAGCGAATTTGTGAACTTTTGGAAGGAAATTCGAATTCAGATCCATCTGCACTGTTTGAATCGGTTGCCTGGGGTATTTTCTCAGGAGACGTTACTCCAATGATCACGACCTTACGACTTTTAATGAAAAATCATTACGAAAACTCAAAATTCACTTCAAATTTATTAAATTCTTTCCAAAAATTCAATAACAACTTAACATTAGTTAACGCAATACCAGTTATAAACCAATCCATCGTCGATGGATCGAAAGAAATACCAAATGGATTATTTTCAAATCATTCAACAACTTCTTCAATAACTACTGACGGAAACTACATTTACTTACTTCTAAAGCCAACAACAATCCTACAGATATCATTATCTAAGTCAATTACGAATGAAAATACAAGATTTTTCAATAAAGATATAAATTTGTCAAAAGTCGAAAGATTGAATGTCGGACTTGCACTCTCAAACGACAAGCTAGTTGTTCTTGGTGAATACATGTCCGAAAGCTTACTTTTACAAACATCTCCATTAGATGAAGAAAAAAGGATCAAAAAGTCAAAAATTTCACTTCCAATATGTTCAGACAGTAAATTTGTGTACTCTATAAGAGGTTCCAACTGTTGTATCCATACTTTTAAGGAAACAAAATTAAAATTAATCCGAAAAGTGAAGTTGATTGAATCCGGAGCAGAATTGAAGAAACTGTTCTCATCCAAACTTATTCCAGACCTTTCTGATGCGATTTTGTTATCAAATGGAATTATTTTATCAATAATCAAGCCAATTCAGAAAAATCAGACAAACAGTAGATTCCCATACATTGCCAGACATTTTAGTCTCATTACTGGCCAGCATATCTCTGATATTGAGTTTGCTTTGAGATTTCCCATTGTTTCTTTAGCAATTGATCCTTGGAACAAGTGCATCTGGGGACTGACATTATCACCAACAACTGTTGGCAACGAGACTGAAAGAAGAGCTTCCCTTTTGAAGTTAGAGTACAATGGATCTTATCCGCCATGGCTCGTGGGAACTGACATTTCTTTTGTAGCTACCGTTAAAGAGTCTTTGTCAATATACCAGGCGAAGACTCCTTCTCAGCTTTCTGTCGCAATTATTAATTTTATTAATTTTTATGTTTCACATTTCGTCGGATCTGGCTTCAATTTGAAGATACAAGATAGTCCTGATCCGAAATGCACCGTTCCGATGATATTTGCTCCAGGAACTTACTACAATATCAACGAAATCATCAAACTATTAGTTCTTTTGAAAGATTTGTACATTAATAAGAAGTTTAATAACAATTGGACTGAAAAACAATACAGATTTGCTTTAATTACATTAGTAGATTTATTAAATTTTGCAATTTCCAATTTACAGATTAATATTGCCCCTCCTTTTGAAGAGGAACCAATTATTGACCAAAGCCTGCCAAATTTGCTGCTTAATTTCCTTGAAGATCCTCATTTCAGGTTTTTAAAGGATCATGTTTTGTTTTTGATATGTAATTGCTTCGATATCATATTCGAAAACAACAGAGTTAACGATGACTGCCTCATTTCCCACATAATTAATGATTTAAACCCAAGTTTGTTTTCATTTTTCATCTCAAACTTGCAAGAAACAACTGCTTTGCCTTATTTCTTCTCCCCAAACTCTTGCAGACGGTTTTTGTCCCCAATAATGAAGCAGTTGACTTCACTTTCTGGAAATTTCAACCGAAATCAGTATGATCTCGTAAATTCTTTCATGAGATCACTACTTTTCGAACTTTATAAGGCTCTCAAGACCAATACTGGTGAAATTTCTGAAGAAAAACAAATTTTACAAGATAATTTTTATTCATTTTCAGGAATTATCACTGAAGAGATGCTTAAACTCTTATTTACATTAGGTCACGACAAAGTTCAACCAGAAAAACTTCAATTCCTTCCATTTACGAGAATTTTCCAGAAATGGCTGTTATTATTACATCCTTTTGTTAAATTCTCAAGTGTTTCATGTGATTTGGTCTCAATTATCCAGCCATTGTACTCAAGTTTAGGTGAAAAGATGAGTTCTCTCAATTTAACAAAGTCAATTAACAACACAGGCAAAGGATTCACATTTATCTTCAGTATCTTCTATGACTTGTTCAGTTTGTACTCAGATTTCATCACAGCGATGGTCGACGGTGGATCCGAAATCAAAGATATTCAAAAATATAAGTGGCTTGTAAAGTCAACTTTAATGAGCGGTTTGACCTCTGAAAAAGTTGACCAAATTTACGACGTTTATGAGAAAAGCGTGAACATGATAGATATGGCCAATAATGATGCCGATTGTGATGAAATTTTCATTTTAAACCTAATTTCAAAAGAGGCATCAGATGAAATCAAGCAATTCATGGATTACATATACGCAAAGGTCCCTGATCCATCAAACAAGAGATTAACACCCGAAAGAAAAGTAATCGAAAGATTAATTTTCTCATCTCTGTTGAAAAACTTAGGATTCACGTCTTTCGCAAGAGAACTAAGTTTGCACTTATTAACAGAGGAAAAGCCAGTCCTGAACCATGCCGTTCGTCAAAGCGCTCTCCAGATTTACAGAATCAGGCGTCAACTCGAGAAATCAAGACAAGATTGGATGAAGCTTAAGGAAGAATGCGAACAATCACAAGTACCCTTCAAGCTGAACTCTCTTTCTGAAGACTATCCGAACTATTTGAAGGAATTAGAGAAGAAATGCCTCTTTTTATTGAATATCCGACCAATTAAGAAGAAGATTGTTAACGAGAATGACAAAATCTTCATCCAGATGTGCAAGAACATCAGTGATTTCCTTACAACTCCCGTTACATTATCCGATTATTTCAAATTACTCGAAACCTCACAAAAAATCCAGAAAAACATCACAACAGGTATCGGCTTGATCAACAACGTGTTCGATCAGAACAACGAGATCTGTTCTTGGTATATTCTCCAGAAATTTTCCACATCAGGCTCAATTATTTCGTTTTTGAAGTCTCTTTCGAAATCAATCCGAAATGAGATCGAATATTCCGACGACGAAACGAAACCGAAGCATAAGAAATCGAAATCGAAGAAACACTCGAAGAAATCTCGTTCAAAGAAACAAGAAGAAGAGATGAGGACCAATCTGATTAAAATAGAAAACAACGAAGTGAAATATATTTTAATTTTAATTGGCCACGTCCAAAAATTTTTGATGGGCAATTCAGAGCATTTCCAACAAAACATTTTATTGGTTTTCCTTGCGAACTTGCTTTTTGCCATGTCAAATTTCGATGCAGAAGAAGTTTTCAAACCGTTAAATGTTTTGATCGACCAAATGTTGAATCAAAGGAAAGAATACAACGAAGAAGAGTATTCCAGCCTGATTGCATACATCATTTCAACTCTTTACGTGATAATTAACACGAATGACGGAATTATCACTTCCAAACAATATCCGAAACTTGTTGAAACACTGCAGAAATACAAGGAATACTCACAACAAAGAAAATCAATCGCGATGTTGTTCAACAAACTAAATGTTTTTGAACATCAATCTCCTATGGAAATGATCAATGATTTAGCCAGTTCTTCGCCAAAACAGTTCTTCTCAACATCACAGTTCCTCTTCCAATTGATTGATGAAAGCAAAAACAAAATTGGTCTCTTGTATCCGATCTTTGAAAATATTGCAAAAATTGCGTCTGGTCAAATATCACTTTTTTGCTCAAAATATTCTATGCCGACCAATTTAAGGAATACAGATGATAAGACACAGTTTGATACAGCAGGTATACAGCTTGCAGGATGTTCTATTTTCATCTCGATGATCAGACGATTTTTGATAAATAACGATGAAGAAGTTTTGAAAATTATAAATTACATTTTGCTGAAAAATAAAGGAAAACAAAGTGATACGAAATACGCCAGATACGATGATCCAATTCTCTTATACGCTGTATTCGCAATTCTCTCCAATGTTATTGATGTATTCCATTTCGGAGGAATTGTCAAATACGCACAGGAAAACGACATGTACATTGTCACTGATTATGATGATGTAAACCATAAAATTGTGGCCTGGCAAATTCCTATAACCGCCAATTCAAAGTTGACAAAACTTGACGCGAATTACAATTTGCAAAACAATTTGTTGTTTAGTTTTAGAGTTTCCATGTTCCCTGATTATTCTAATTTGTTGCATTACTTCAATTTTGCAATCAATCCTAACTCAAACACTATGAGAGAAGGATTGAATTACTACATAATTAGTTCGTTGAAAGAATATGCAACAATTCCTAATTTCATCCAAGAAAATTTACCAAATATTTTCTCTAAATTCCAGAGAAACAATTTCAATTTCTCATTCAAGAACCAGTCGTTTTTGAACATATTGAGATGCCATCTTCTCAACAAAGACTCTGAAGGATTCAGACAGCAGAGAAATTCGAAATTGGAATTCCATTTGGTAAATTTGACTTATAACTATTCAAACATTGAACAAGTTTATGATTCTGAGACATTGCAATCTAATTTTGACATTTCTTATTACTGCACACAGCCATTGGGAAACAAGATCTCTTTGTTTAATATAAAGAAAACTGATTGCAAGAACATAGAATTCGGAATTACTTCTCCTTCTTACAAAATATGGAATAGAAAAGCGGTTTATGTCAGAAAAATATTCAAAAGACTTGATTTGTGCGGATTGGACACTTTAGATAAAGCGTTTTTACCTGTAATAAGATTGTTTTCAGAAATCGTCTCTTTTGAATACAACCGCTCCACAAACACAATCAAAATTGTTAGTGGAACTGACAAATACACTGTCAACTTCCCTTCAGACATGACTCCAATTTTCTATGTCATTTTTTACGATGCAGGCAAATTGGAGTATAATTTAGATGACAATTTGAAAACAGATGAAAAAGTCATCAAAAAGAAAGTCAATGAAAATGTTTTTAATTACAAAACATTGACATATGAGAAGCAGCAAACAGTTGACAAAGTTGTTGTTCCTCTTCGAAACACAATGATATTCAAGAAGAAAAAGACTTTGCCAATCAACAATGTCAATGAAATAAAATCATCAATAGAAGTAAACAATGATTACAGACCAGACCTTGAAGAAATGTGGACAAAAGTAGCAAGACTTGGATCATCTCACCGACCATTTATAGATGAAAAGAAACAGCTTTATTTCGATTATACCGGCATTGAATTGAAGAATACTTATCAATCTTTGTTAACTCATCATTCTTATAATTCTTCTTTCAACTTTTTCCAAATACAAAAGCCATTGCTGAAGTTCTCTAATATCTCCTATTTCAGAGGAAAGAAAGATGATAAAATAGACTCAATCGTAAAAATGAAACAAATATTTTATCCAAATTACGTAATGACAAATAAAAGTGACAAAGAAATTTATGCCGTTAACGATATGACAGGAAAAGTTTCAAAATTCAAAGATTTCATTGAACTCAAGACATTGCCACCGATGAATCCAGATTATTTCATCAGTTTGCCAACAAATCTGATTAATTATTTCGATTCATCAGTTGTAGATGATTTGAGATTGAGTTTATTCACTGATTGTTACATTTCTCAGTTAATTAATGGAAAAGATTTCGCCAAAACAAACGAAATCTTCAAAGTTATTGATGACATTGATGTTGTAACAATGATGATACACTTCTTAACAATTGCAGAACCATTTAACAACGAAGAAATCATTGATTTCAACGTGAATTATTTCGACAAGAACCAAAACGTTCCTTCAAATGTCGGAAATTATGTCATCGCTTCACAAACAATATTTAATCATTATCAAAGTAACAATTTGACTCATAAGTTCATTAAATCTGTTTTCGACTTGTTCTGCACAATGATGAAATCAATGAATTGGCATTACGTCTTAGATAATCATTCCGATTGTTACTTCATAACAAATGACAGAAGTAATGATTTCGTTGTTGACGAATCATGTGAAGATTTCATTTGTTTAGTAACGAAAGACAATGTCGTAGTGAATGAAGAAACATTGTCTCATAACAGATACATGATTGTTCACAACCAAATCAATGGATACAAGTTCCATACTGATGATCAAACATTGATTTTGATTCCTTTCAGAGACACAAAAGTTTTGTTGGGAACTTTTGGAGAATTAATTGTTTTGTTCAAGTATCTTGTTTATTTCCTGAAAGATAACTCGAACATAGCTCATGAACTTCGTAAGAGTGTTTACTCAAACGTTCTTGATTCATATTTGTTTAATTCTCCATTTTTCGTAACTAATTTTGAGAAAATTTTGTCATTTTTGCAGAAAAACATCAGAACAACATATTCTGATATTTCTGGAGACTTCCTTTCTCGTCTTAACATCCTTGCAAGTATGTCAAGATCAAGATCAATTCCTCCTTACATCACATCATTCATTGAAGAACACCAAGCAATTTGGGATGAAAGAGTTTTAGTTCCTTTACGTGCCTATTTCCCAGAATTCCTCACAGAAGCAGAGAAAGTTGAAATACAGCGTTCAAACATTGTTGCCAAATGCAATCTACCTTCTGATCCATTTGCGAAACCAATCACAACATCGCAGAATTTGTCCAATTACAAATTGATATTGAACAGATTACTTTCTATTCGAAAAGATATCATCGCGTATCCATTTCATTACGTGATAACTTATTGGTCTGAATTGTACATGATGTATCCTCCTTACACAACAAAAATAGAAGGATACATAATGAAAGTTACTTTCACTGATTTCATTCCAGAAAAATTTACTGTTTTGCGTCCAAAAACAGTTAATTTGCAAAAGATCAATGTTATTCTTCCAGACGGAACGAAAGAAGTACACGAGAACACGTTTATCTATACAAATAATAGAAGAACAATTATTTTGGAAGGCGATGTTTTGTGGGGAAGTTTCATTTTCGTTATTGCTGATACACAACCAAAAACAACTGCCGAATTCGATGAAAAACAAAGAGAAAAGTTTGTTTCAGACATGACGACATTGGCTTTGCATTGGGATAATCAGACAGACCAAAAGATCTCCAACTGTTTCACAACAGATATCTTAACTAAAATGGCATTGAACTTCGAGTTTGATGTAGAAGATTTATTAAAGACAGAAATGAATTTTGATTTCCCATTAATTTTGATTCGAGCGAAACTTCTTCTCCTTTTGAATTGGATGATCTTCAACAAAGTCATGGATCTTTCTACTGATAGTTCTTCTATGCCCTATCTTTCCTACTGCATCTCCAGCGCGTTGAAGATGAAAATGCTTCGACAAATCGTTCTAAAACACTCCGAATCAGGATATATTTCTGTCAACGTGAACCGCGCAAGTTCCTTTGATTTGAAGAACGGAAACTCAACAAATTACGATAATTCCATCATTGCACAGCTCTCAAGAATATGCAATATCACAGAACTTCGAAATATAAAGAGACCATGGAAAGTTACATTTGTCGGAGAAATGGCAATTGATGCAGGTGGTCCTGCAGTTGAATTGTTTTCAAATGCTGCAGAAGATTTCACTTCTCCTAACTGCGGACTTGTTGTTAAGATTCCTAATGCTAGGAATGAAGTTGGTTTCTATAGAGATTGTGTTGTTCCTTTCCCTAAAATTGGAGTTTCGTACATTCAAACTAAATATAGATTCGCTGGTGCATTGATTGCGATGTGCATCAGAACATCAATTGTACAAGACTTCAACTTCCCAATGATTGTTTGGGACTATTTAGCGAAAGGAACTATAGATATTGAACATATATACGAAATTGACCAAAACTTTAAAGTTTTAATTGACTCACTCTATGAATGTGTGAAGTCAAACATCGACCAAAATGTTTTCCAGCGCCAGTACAACTTGAAGTTTGTCATCAACAACATTGCAGGTGAAGAATGTCCTCTTCTGCCAAATGGAAGAAATATCCGTGTAACAACTGAAAACATCAGGAAATTCATCATCCTCGCGAAAGAATTTAGAATTAATGAATTAACAAAAATCCTCAAAATGATGAGAGACGGATTTCTTGAGAACCTCAACTTCACTCCTCCTGCATATGTTAATGGATACACTCTTCAATACGCGGCATGTGGAGAAAGGGACATTCCAACAGACAAATTCATCAGCATGCTTAAATTCTCTGGCCAGAATCATACAAACATTAACTGGCTCATTAATGTTGTACAGAGATTCAACTCCGAAGAAAGAACAGCTTTGTACAAGTTCATCACTGGAAGAACTCGACTTCCTGTTGGAGAAGATCCTCCTTCACTCACAATTGACAACGCACACACACTTGATATGATGCCTACAGCATCTACTTGCTTCGACCAACTCCACCTCCCTGCTTACTCATCTCCAGATAAGATGTACACTTTAGTCAGAGCTGCTGTTCTATTTACTGACTCTATGGAAATGCATTGATTTAGTTATTTTTTTATTTATTGTATTTTTTTTATATTTTATTTGTTTTAAATATGTTTTGTTTATTATTTATATCTTCTAATTATATTTTAGATCGATTCACTACGCACTTTAGTTCACAAAGGCACATATCAACATATACTGTTTCATAATTGAAATTTTGGCCGACAATAGTTATCGATAAATCTTTTCATAAATGAAATTTCGATATATGTTCTTATAAATCATTCTATTTTAATTTTAAATTAAAATTTAACTTTATGAGACTTGTTTCGAGTTCAATGTTTAGTAGAAATGTAAAGAATTTTTAAACGTCTATATTTTGAGCAATTCGAAAATGGCTACTTGTTTAGACGATTCCGTTAATTTAAGTGAGTCATTGTCATTTGGTATGAATTTCTCATCAGATATATCACCACAATGCTCGCCTATGAAATCCAAACCAGTTTCTTTGGACCAATCTTTTAGTGCAATTCAAGCAATGTTCGATTCATCAGATTCCGAAGTGGAGCCCTTTGAAATAGAAACAAAAGACTATTATATATCACCTTCAAAGTCAAGGCTCTCTGATTCTTCAATTATTGAAAAAGAACTCAATGAAAATATCGTGAAACTAGCAGATGAAGACGAAATTCCGCATACAATCAGTGAAATTATTGTAAAATACTGGTTTCACATAGATCAATTTGAAGCCGGAATTCCTGGAAAAGCTTTGGCTGTTACAATCATGGATTATCATGAATCTGTTCTCAAGCCTCAGATTGCAAATAAAATTTATACTCAGCTTGATGATATCAGAACGACAATTTCTTTAGAAGATAACATGATTCTTTTCTATTGTTCCTCAATTGAGCTTTATAAAATGCTTTCAAATATGGAACAATTTATGTATCTAGTTAAGAAATTAGCAGAAAAATCTGTTGAATCTGTCGCTAAAGCATTCGGAGGTCAAATTGTTGCCATGATTTCAACGATGCTAACATATGATCAGCAAACGCCACAATATGAGCAAGTTCTCTCCGATTTGAAAAACATTCGAGAAAATTTTTCGGATAAGCTTGAGCTATATCAAAATATTATTGAATACGCAGACTGTGCAATAACTAATATGATAATCACTGATAAGCTACTAACATCAATCGAAGAATTTATTTGGGCAAACACAAATTTAACAATAATTGAAACACAATTGGATAAGCCATTCAATAGATTTAGGCAAGCTTTACTTGCAGTTGTTGCTCATAAAGAAATATTAGCAAATCCAAGTGCTTTAAATGAATTAATACCGCTTTTACCACATAACTTTATTTATTTTATGTTCTGCATGCAAGATTTTATTAATTACCAACAACTTGAAGCATTTGCACAAAATAACCATTTGAATTTTAATGTTAGGTGTGATGATTTCCTCTTCAAACCACAAATTATAGTTTTGCCTTCGATTCAGTAATTGCTATACTTTTCATATATTTGTATTCATTGTTTTTTTAAAAATTAACACTCTTAACTTATTTTAATTTTTTCGCATGACAATATATCTTACTCATGAAACTTCCTTTTAGAATTGTGAAAATTTAATCGTTTACGAGCTGTTCATAGTATTTACAATTAGATTTGATAGGAAAAGTACAATATGTAATTCCCGTCATGATATTTTACAGGCTTTCGTATTCATTAGTAGAATCTTTATTTGGATATGGATATTTCAATCTATATGCATGTGCGTATAAAATATTCGAAGCCTAATAATTTTCAAGTAATTGGCAAAAAGATGATGAGTGAGCATCAAGATAGTATCTTGGGAAAGGCCGTTCGAAACAACATTATTTTTATCTGATATAATGCCATCAGTATTAAAGGCAATTGCAAAATCCGAAGCAAATCATATATTCGAGTTATTTGATATGATATAATTATGATACAAATTGACATGTATTCTGTTTGAAGATAACAATAATTTTCCCACGAGATTTTGTTTTCAAACAAAGGTGACCAAACTATTTTTTGAAAGTCCGCCATAACTTTAATGGTACTATTTCAGCGTGTACAATGAATACAAAAATTCTAAGAGTGCCACATAAAATAGTACTTTAGACTTGAGTTAATGCTACCAAGCAAATGTTAAAAAGATGACTTTAGTGTTTTGATAATCAAAGATTAAAATCATTATTGTCTAAATCAATAATCATAACGACAGAAGTTAATGTTTTTTCATCAGTGCTTTAAATCCACTTTTAAAAGTATACCTCAAAAATCAAAATATCAAAAAAAATTGGCCGATAGGTTTGGCTTTAATTTTTGTCTGCTTTTATGATTTGATATGGATGTTATAATTTTAAAAGTTGAGCCAAATTCACCAATAGATTTTTGAGATTTGCAAATACTCAATAATTTTCAGCGTGTTATCTTTTATTAAAAGAACTATTTGGTTTCAGTATCATATAAATTGATATTTACTTTCTATTTGAACCTTCATTTAGCTAATGATTTAATAATACAGATTTCATCTAGTCCTTATAAGAGAATTTTGAATTTGTTATAATAAAAAAACAAACAGATATAGCTTACACTTCTATAATAAAGATACCTTTTATAGAAATCAGTATGAAATGTGTTTTGGCTTATTGGAAGCATATCAGACATAATCGCCATAATCAAAAAATCTATATACCCAATAAGTAATAAATTTGTCGATATAGATTTTCCATAAAATTAGTTTTTAGTCTGATCTTAAAATAAATTTAATTTTTTATAAAAAAAATCACATTTAAAAGTATCTTTTTAGTAGCTCGAAATCCTGTTGGTGGATTTGGGGCGTACTTCAAAATTAGCTTTTCTTCTACATATGCAAGCTATATTTTAAATATGGGGCAAATCGGATCGGCGAAAGGAGTTTAGTTACCTTTTTTCAAACTGTAAAAATGCACAGTACCTTCAAATTAATATGGAAAACTAATTTAAATTGTATGATATATCTAGGAAATATATCAAACTGGAATTAATGCGATATGAAATCAAAAAATCAAATTTGTCATCAATAATATAGAAAATCAGTATTTGAAATTAATATAATAACACATGATGTATTTAATTCTACAATTATTATTACACAACAATATTTGAAAATATGATTCCTGGGAGATTTCCTCTTCCAATAATATGGAAACATCCAGGTGGAACCGAAGATATTTTTATTGCCGAGCTGGTTAAAGACTTATTCAACTGCAACTGATCCAAGTTATTAACTTGAGGAGTGACCGCTGGTTTAGGAGGTGTAGAAGGTGCCACTGGCTGTGGAGGTGGTGCAACAACTGGTTTCGGTTGATACTGTTGTTGAGGAGGACGTTGAGGGATGGTAGGGGCAATCTGTTGTGGAATTGGTGTGATCTGTTTTGGTTTTTCTTTGATATGAGCTTGATAAGTTGGTTGTGGTTGTGGATATCTTACAGGCGTTTGCTGAGTAGGAGGTGGGGGCATTTTCATTTGCTGCATATAGGAATTATCCTGAACATAGCTGATTTGATTTGAACCTTGTGGATACTGCATAACAGGATATGGCGGTATATTCTGTGGAATTTGAATATAAGGTTGATTCGGATGGTAATAATAAGGGGCTGGCTGAGGATACATGTTAGGATTATAGATACGGCCTGGTTGCATTGGATGTGGCATTTGGGGTGCCTGACCTCTCGGATAGCTACCTATTGGATAAGTCATTTTTGAGGATTTATGAAAATCTTTTTGTAAATGAAAGTGGTCTGAAAAATTGTTTATCTTCATAAATTTTGAGACGCTTTTCAATTTTTGAGCGACTCCTCTAAAATTTGAGACAATTAAAACTCAAATTGAATACTTCTCAAAAAAGCTTGAAGGTATTCAAAATTGCGAATATTAGCGGACCTAATATACATGATACGAGGATTGGAAATTGCATATTTAATTACGAGAAGCCATGACTAAATAGCTGTTGGCTCGAACGATATTTTATGTTTTTAAATTGATTGTGAGGATACGTTTTGTATCGAAAAATCTGTGGCCGCTCAGAAAAATTGTGATACCTCCCAAATTTCAGTGATTTATTTTTCGCTTTTGAATAGGTCTAATCTCCACCCATTGAATTTCTTCAAACGAGAAGTTTATGGAATGCAATATTATAGTTTTTGTCTTTTGCTATAAAATCTTTTTAATCGTTTAATTTCAGAAGAAATAAATTTTTTGTATTATACTCAACGCTTATTCATTGAGCAAGGGCGCGTAAAGGGTTGGCGTCCTAAGGCGTCCTGATGTAAACTATTCAATTTTTGAGAAGTTTACACCATAATTGAATAGTTTATGGCGTCCTGAGAGGAGATTTCAATGAGTATGGCGTCCTAAAAAATAGAAGAAAATGATTTTTTCTCGATTTTTCTAGAAATTGAATTTTTTAAAAAAGAAAAAAATCAAAACGTATACATTCAAGAAAGACTATAAATGAAGATTTTTCTATTTTTTTCATTCTAAAACATCTTTTTTTGGATAATTTTTTTTTTAATAAATATGTAAGAAAGATTGAAGAAAAAGTAAATTTACTTTAAGAAAATTCGTTTTACATGATGTAAGACCCATAACAACTATAAATATTCAATTATTTAAAATAAAAAAAGAAAAACAGATTAAATGTATCTCACATCAAAATCCATTAACCTAAGGATGTTAAGTTTCTGTTTTTAAAAGTTGATATTTTTTTTTTAATTTTAAGAAAATTAATAGCATGTTATTAGACAATAGGAGTGTAATGATATTGACTAAACAGAAATGAGAGAATAGAGATATAATTTTGATAAGCAATATTGCGAACAAATTCTGAAGTAAAATCGCGATCAATAATTGAAAATTACGATCATGTACTGAAAAATGACGATCGAATTGAATGAATAGAATTATATCTAAGAAAAAATAAATTGTATTTAGAAGATGAACAAAGAAAGGTGTATGCTAAAAATCATTTAACAATAAATGGAAATAAAACGAAATTGTTAAAAGAAAAAAATGAAAATTGTTAAATAATATATTATTTTTTAGTCATAAAATAAAAATATAGTAGTTATAAAAGGAATTAGACTTCATATATCAATTCTTTTTCTCTGTAGATGTGGAACGTTTGCTTTTCGATCTCTTTCGATGAACTTGAAAATATAAGTTATTATCGCTGAGAATCCTTTCCGAAATAGGAGCTTTACGTTTAGGAGGATTGTCGGATGAATTTTGTTTTTTATTGTTTGATTTTGTTGTTATGGAAGATTTTTTCTTATTTTTTTCAGAATTTTGCTTGCTATTAACTGAAACTTGTTTTGACGGCCCAACAATAGCATTTGTAGTAGGAAGAATTCCCAATAACGAGCGCATTTTCGATAATTGTTTTTCAATATGATCAAGAAGGTCCAGCTTATGTTCTAGATTACTAGACATTTGATTTGTAGAAGGATGGTTTTGATTTTCTGGTTCTAAATCTGTAGAGTCTGCAATATTTGAATTTTCGGAGCGAATTGGAGCATCTGAACCTTGATTTGTATCGGCTTGCTCAAAATTAGTTTGAATTGGAGTGGATGAATTAAAATCTGGATGATTTAATGTTTCATTAAATAATGCCATAATTTTTTCTCTTTTTTCATTAATAAACTTAGTGATCATTGTATCTTTATCTGTTAGATCGATCGATTTGAGTATATCTGCATCATGAACTGGAATATTTTCGAACAATGAACTCGATTCTATGGAACCATATGGAGAAATCTCGTTCTGAGCCAAAGAAAGATCACTTACGTTGTATTGTTTGATAGAAAAAATTGTTTTCTCAAGTTCTTTTTGAAAGCAGTCAAGAATATAATTTTTGTAGCTATCAGTGATAACGGTTTTTATATGGCGCTCGATCTTCTGGTTATTTTTGATGGCGTTATATTTATCTAATTGGATTTGAGATATCTTCTTAATAGCTTCATAAATGTTTGGATGTTTTAACGAAGAAAATTCTGAATGCATACTCTCGAGGCAATCATTAGTGAATATTGCAGTTGCATTATTATATTGAGATATTAAATTGTAGTGCGGCAACCAAACTTTGTTGAAATAATCAATATAATCTTTGATCGAATCAACTTTATTTTGATTAATTATATGCATTGTAAGTACAAATTCTTCATGAGACATGAATGGAGTAATAGAATATAGCTTAAATAAAGAATTTTGTAAAGTATTGAAATTTTTTGTATAAAGTGCTACAAGTTTCCTGTGTAAAGCTTGTTTGAAATGAAATAGGCATCCAATTATACGGACTTTAGGGAAAATTTGTTGAAGTGCCTCTATCATTCCCTTTTCAAAATCACAATGAATTTGAATTAGCTTTGAAAATTGAATACCCTTGACAGTAAAAATATATTCAAATGCCTTCTTATAAGATTCAAATGTGCGGTTTTTCATGAATATAAATAAAAGTGGTAGATATTGATTTGTTGAAGGTTCACAAATCATAATTGTTAGCATCTGTCCTTTTTGAAAATGTTTTGGTGTAATTTTAAAAGTTCCATCGCAAAATAAATCTGTGGCTTCTTTTGCAAATTGAATTGCCTTCTCAAAACCAAAAAACATCGTCTCACAATTTGCTTGAAAATCATGGCCAATGAAAAACTGCTCGCCATTTATTAAACAAAAATTAGCAATTTCATCGTCTGTAATTTTTTCTCCAACAGAAAATTTTCTGGACTTATTATAAACTTCCCTGACCAATGAATCTTTAATTAATGGGTTTTCATCAGTACCAACAGCAAGTTCTGTCATAAATTTTTTAATCTGCTGAAAAGTGCCGTTGTCTTCAGAAAATTTTGCCATTGCCTTATTGTATATTTCTGTCAGAGTCATTGATTTATGAAGATCATTTTTTTCATTTTGTAACTTTTTAAATTGTCTGCATTCGGGTATATGTTCCTTTTGTAAATCTTCGGAAACTGAACTGTTCTCAATTTTAACTAAATAACGTGCTTGACAAGAATGATCGATGCAACGGTAGTAACGTTCAATATTATTTGAATTAATAATATTTGTATGATCATGCGAATAAAGCATATCTTTGCGAACAATTGTATCAGGATATTTTCCAGTAACTGCGGGAATATTTTTAACTGCAATATAACTAAAATATCTTCTGACAGCTTTAGATTCATTTTCGGCGTATTTAATATTAAAATATTGAAGAACTTGTTTGATTATATTCGTTTTTTCATCTCTCGATGTTGATTTTTGGTATTTATCAGATTGTTCCCTGATAAATATTTTATTTTCGTCTGTAAAGTTTGCTCTTTTTTGATTAAATATAGATGATTTTCCCATTAAAAAATGAATTGATGCAAAATTTAAGAAAACCGTTCGAAAATTGAATCAAAAATGAAAAGTAATACTTAAATGAGGAATTCTTTGAGATATTGGTCTTAGATTGAATGTAGCGTCATTCTTATATAGAATATATATTCATATCATCGGAAATATGATAAAAAGCATATAATAAATGTCAAAAAAGTGAACAAATAAGCAAAGATATTTTTTAAAAAACAATGAAAAGTAATACTTAAATGAGGAATTCTTTGAGATATTGGTTTTAGATTGAATGTAGCGTCACAAATTTCACAAATATAATTTACTATACAATTTTATTCATTTTTTTAAAATGGCTGACGACAGTCTGTATCAACTAACTCAACTAGTCAAGCATAATGATTATTCTTCGGATTCATTAAATCAACTTTATCAATGCATAAGTACAATGACAGAAAGATCAATTGGATGCTTGAATTGGGATAAATTTTTCAAAAAAATCACAGTGACTGATGAAGTTCTTTTACATTTTTTAGCATCCGTTTTAAACATTGAAAAGATATCAGAATGTTTCAAGGATTCTATTTTTTATCACAATATTAATCTTGAAAAATTCAGTAATTTAACTGAAACAGAACAACAAACAATTTTAAATTCCTACAAAGCGGATAAATTAGTTAGTATACAAGTCTTGGGTACGGTGGCACTGCGTTCCACCTTACTCAATATAACCTTAAATATTTACAAAACCAGTAACGTATATTTTACAACACGAACGCAAAAACTAACTTAACCTTAAATATTTACAAAGCCGCCAACCACTTCACTAACGAACTCACTAATGTAAAAATAAACGTTCTCACTATCGTTCTCACTAACAACTTCACTAATGTTCTCATAAATTTTCCTCAATATCTTCATCATCAGTGTTAACCCTATTGTAGTCATACTTGAAGCCATAAACTTTCTCTAACTTCTTAACGTACAATTTACATAACTTACCTTCGTCATCGTATGGTTTAATGATATAACTATTTCTATCTTTATACACAGTCAATGAAAAGTCAACTGGTCTCGGATGTATTTGAAAGAACATGTTATGCTCAGGAAGGAAGAATAAATGTTTAAATGTATGTTTGTTATACTGTGGAATTCGAATGAGTTGCTTTTGTTCTGTCATTTACATCCAAATAAAAAATTTCAGTAAACTTAAAAATAAACTTAAAATTAATGATATCACCACCCTCACACGTATGAAAACATAGCGCAAAAATAAATTTAGGTGAAGTGGTGAAATCTCACCTCTTTTTTCACCTCTTTTTTCACCCACTTGAATTCATTACTTTATAACTCTCTTCCTTTCTCCAACTCTT